TCAAACCACCCCCTCCCTTGGCAGGTTAGCTCTTCTACCTCTGTTTTATCCAAAGATACTCTCATCTTTTCTCCTCAGTTGGGCCTTTCCCCCATAGGTCCCTCCCAAAAACAGCCCCCGGCAACACTCCCCCAGATGTTTCTCCCTCTATGGTGGAGAGGCCCCAGAGGTTCAGAGACTGCCTCACCTTTGCTGACCACTGCAAGTGTATGGGAGCTTGGGGGTGGGATCCTTTCCTCCTCTTCTTCCTCTTCAGCCTGTGGAGGCTCCACGAAGTAATCGTCTACTGGCTGTGGGAAGGATTCCTCCTCTTCCTCATCCTCAGCCCCCTCTACTCTGCTCCCCGGGGGCCAGGACCGGGTGGAGGGGTCACTGAGGGAGCAGGAGAGGACCCAGGCAATAAGAACCCAGGCCCAGGCTCCCAGGCTTCCATCCCCTGCCTCAGGAACCTTGGGATGGGCATGGAAGGTTCCCTCTCACTCACCCAACTGCTGTCCCAGATGGGTCGGGGGTCCCTGGAGGGGGACAGCACACATACTCCACACCACGGAACCGATCCGAGCCACAGGGTAAAAGCATGCCCGAGCCGTGCAGGATGAGGCCCTGGGAGCTGCAGGCCTGTAGGAAGAGTGGACCCAGATGCCAGGATTGTGGGGTAGGAGGGGTAGATGGGGAGCTGGGCTGCCTGGGTTGGGGGTTGATGAGGCTGGGAGCCTGGATTCCTGGTTCTGGAGGAAGGGGTTGGGGGATGAAATTCTTAGATCCCAAGTGGGAAGAGGATGCCGGTGGCCCAGACCCTCGGTTCTGGTGGAGGAGGGTGTTGGGGTCCTGGTTCCTGGGTTCTGGGGGCTGGGGACGGGTGGGCCAAGGTCCTGACCTCTTGTGCCTCCTGATGCCTCCGGGTTGAACTCTCGCATTGGTCCATGCGCTCCTGGTGCAAGAACCGGCAGCCTTCAGGCACCAGCAGGGCCTCGCTCACAAATTCGCCAGCTGGGGAAGCGCGGGACACCAGGGTGAGACCCTCCTACAGCACCAACCCCACCCTCCTCAGAATCCAGATATTTTATCCTCAGAGGCTTCTCTGCCCCACTTAGGACACAAGCACCCACCCCCTTAATGTGGGTCCCAGAGAGGGGCTCAGAATTTTGCCCCTCGGAAACTCCCACCTCAGTTCCCCTCTCCCCGCCTGGGACTCACGCAGGCAGCGGAAGGGCACAACCTGGTGGTGGGGGTGGGTGCAGCTGCCGCTCCGGGCACCCCCGCACCAGCGCTCCATGGGGATGGCCTGGGTAGCCTGCTCTACACGTGCGATCTGCAGCTCCGGGTACATCTGGGGGGATCAGATGGGGGCAATCAGCCCACAGCCCCGCCTCTGCCAGCCACCCCTCTCCAGTAGTCAGGTCCCCTTTCTTCCCTCCCTCCCTCCTTTCTCTCTCTCTCTCTCTCTCTCTGTCTTTCTCTCTTTCTCTCTTTCGGAGATTTGCTCTTGTCGCCCAGGCTGGAGTGCAATGGTACAATCTCGGCTCACTGCAACCTCCTCCTCCCAGGTTCAAGCTATTCTCCTGTCTCAGCCTCCCGAGTAGTTGGGATTACAGGCACGCACCACCATGTCCGGCTAATTTTTGTATTTTTAGTAAAGACAGGGTTTCGCCATGTTGGCCAGGCTGGTCTCGAACTTCTGACCTCAGGTGATCCGTCCGCCTCCGCTTCCCCAAGCGCTGCGATGACAGGCGTGAGCCACTGCGCCCGGCCAGGTCCGTTTTCAAGGCTATCTTTTTTCCTGTGCTGTTTCTTTCTGAAGGTCCCTCTAAGCCCACCTCTCTGGTCACCCCTCCCCGCAGTCAGATTCGTCTCCCCAAAGGTCTCACCCTCCTTTTAGCCCTGCCTTTTCCTCTATTTCGCCTCTCCAAAACTCTCCCTTCCCATTACAGACTTGTCTTTTCGTGGCCACGCCCCCCAGCTCTCCGCGCTTTCATTGGGCTCCACCCCTTTCCCCATCTCGCTGGTCCTTAAGGTCTCTTTCTGTCTTAGCCCCGCCTATCCTTTCGCCACTCCCCACTACACCTCTGCTCTTTACAAAGACCACCAGATTCCTAAATTCCACTTCTTCTCTGGCTATCTCGCGGTTCTCCCCCTTTCCTGACTTAGTATCTCAAAACAGGTCCCCTGCCCTAGCATAGTTGCGCCTCTTTATTGGCCACGTCGCCCAGCCTCCAAGTCTTAGATCCCGCGGCACCTTGGACCACGCCTTTTTCAAGTGTAGCTTTCTACGGGCGGCCCCGCCTCGTTTGGGGCCCGCTTTCCCGCTGGCCCCGCCCCTCCCGCTCGGCCCCGCCCACCTGTCTGCAGTACTCCAGCACGCGCTGCGGGTCCCGGAGACAGCGTCGAGAGCGCTGTGGGTCTGGTTCCCAGCGGCCGGTGCGCAGGTCCCGGTGAAGGGTTAGGCGCCCGCATAGTCCAGCCACCTGGGCCGACCCCGGGGCCTGGATAGAAGTGGAGGGGATAATGAGGACCCGGGGGGCGTTGGCATGAGGGTCCCCTGGTTCTTTGCTCCCTAGGACCGAGACCCCCAGCACCAGCCCCCTCCCCCAAGCACCGTTGTGCACACCGCCTCCATGGAGGCACCGTTCCCTGGGAAACAGCTCCCGTAGGGCGGGGGCGCCCTAGCTCTCCCGTTGCTATGGCGACCCGGGTCCCCCGGGATTCTTTCTGCCTTGTTGCCGCGGAGACAGACTCCGCCCCGACCCCAGCTCAGCCGCTCTGGAGCCCGAAGGGGTTAAACCTGAATCGCGGAGGAGGCCTGAACCCAGGCGTTCTGGCCCCTCCTCCCTCCATCCCTTGCTCAGGCTCCGGTTGCAGGGTGCAAAGCTGATAAGGCCTGGCTTCAGGGGCCTACAGTCCTGGACACCAGGTCCTTGAGGACTGGAGAGCTACATTTGGTTGGGGTGGGTGGTGACTGAAGGACCGGACTCCTGGGTCCTGGGAGGCTGCAAGGGCCTCCATATGGGTCCAGAGAATACAAGGGGTCTGGATTATTGGATCTAAGTGCCTCGCTGCTTGGTGGGTCCTATGTCCAGGAGGGAGGGGGTTGGGACCTAGTCACCTGGGTCTGGAGAGGGGGCTGGACTTCTGGGACCCAGGGGCTCTGAATAGACCAGTTCCTATGCTCGGGGTGGGAGAGGGCTGGGACGTCGGAGGATGGGGGAGCTGGGGCCTGGAACCCTGGGTTCATAAATGCGGTTGGGGGCGCCTGGGGGCTGACCACCTGGCTGGAAAGACCGCGCTTTCTGTCCCGTACATGTCCGCGCTGGCGTCCAAAGACCCGGTCCCGCCCCTTCCCCCATCCCCCAGGACCCGGCCCGGCCTCACCTCGGCCGCGCCGGGGCTCCCACCGGCCAGGCTCCCGATGGCGGGCTGCGCGCGCAGAAGCAGCAGCAATAGTGGCAGCAGCAGCGGCAGCGGTGGCTGGCCCGGGCGGCGACTTAGACCGCGAGCAGCGGGGCTGGCTGGCCCCATGTCCCGGCCCTTGCGCCCTCACGTCCCCTGCACTCCCGCCCGGCCCGGCCCCAGCGGTGACAGGAGCTCCCAGCGCCACCGCCGCCACCTCCTCCTCCCGCCGCCCCCGGGCTGCGCCGGCGCCGCCAGCCACGCCCCACGCCGGCCCCGCCTTCCTGGCCAGGACAATAGCGTGGCGGCTCCGCGCAGAGTGGAGCAGCTCGGGAACCCCGGGCGGGAGCCTGCGCCAGGCCCCCGCCCCTGGAGATTCCAGGCGTCCCGCCCCATGAAGGGCCCAGCCAGGAGTCCTGCTATGGGCTCAGCCCGTTGTGGATTTTGAGTCCTCCCGCAGGACTCTCACCCTCTTTAGACCCAGACACTCACAGTTTTGTCCTTCTCCAAGGATGCAAGCATCAGAGACCCCCGTCCCCTAGTAAATTCCTCTGTTGAGGGCTCAGGAATACAGGCCTCCAAAATGTCCCGTCAAGATGGCAGCAGTTGAGACCCAGTCCCCTCCTCTTTCAGATCCAGAACTCTGGGCACCTTCTCTCTCAGGACCAGAGACCAAGCCCCCAGCCCATTCTCCCTCAGAACCAGGAGTTCAGTCTTCCTGCTCTGCTTCCCAAGGGTCCCAGGGGCCTGGATCTTTAACTCCTAGCTCAAGGATCCATGAACCAAAGCCCCCAGGACCTTTCTTTAAGGATCACCCAAGCAGGCACCAGCACCATGCCCACTGTGGATGCAGCGCCCCAGGATTAGGGTCTGGATCTCCACCCTTGCTGTAAGGACCACGGGATTGCCATTTTCATGCCCATAGTCTCCCCTTCTCTGTCCCACTTCAGGGCTCACTCATTTGTCTCCTCTAATGAGAGTGTAGAATTCTGTCTTTCCCAGGACCCCTGGGGCAGCCCTGTCACATGTGTGCAACTGTGTGGACATCTATGCGTGTGTCTGTGCATACATGCCAATGTGTGTGTCTTTTCTGTTTGCAACTCGTGTGTGTGTGTGTGTGTGAGCGTATGTGTATGAAGATGTATATTAAAAGAGTCCATGACTGGGCACAGTGGCTCACGCCTGTAATACCAGCACTTTGGGAGGCCTAGGTAGGTGGATCACTTGAGGTCAGGAGTTTGAGACCAGCCTGGCCAACAGGATGAAATCCTGTCTCTACAAACAAATACAAAAATCAGCTGGGTGTGGTGGTGTGCACCTGTAGTCCCAGCTACTTGGGAGGCTGAGGTGGAAGGATGGCTTGAGCCCAGGATGCAGATGTAGCAGTGAGCTGAGATGATGCCACTGCACTCCAGCCTGGGCCATAGAGCCAGACCTTGTCTCAAGAAAAAAAAAAAAAAGAGTCTAGAGTGCTTTGCAGGTAGCAAGAGGCTGAGAGGTGGCTCACAGTTTTGCTTCTACAGCCACCTTATAGGCTAGGGTAGAGGAGAGACCTTGGGACAGGTCTAATGGACCCCTTCCTTGATGGAGGGTAATAATGCCAGTAGACTCCCTAAGACACACTTGCCTCTTTGACTTTTTTTTAATTATTAAACATAAATATTTTTATCCCAAGATTCCCCTTTGCCCCAACAGTGCTAATTCTCACCATATCCCCACTCCTTGGGTCCAAGTCTTTCTGAGTCTTTAGGGAAAGTGAAATCAAGATGGTGGCCATCTTGGGTTCCTAGGGAGTACACGGCCATCTTGGCTGCATTTCCATTGGCCCAGCAAAGTTCCCCTCAGGGAGAGCCACAGTGGGGCCTGGTATGCTCTTCATCTTCATCTATCCTATGCTACCTTTCTTCTCAATACAGATGGTCATCTTGAAATATCTTCTTTCAGTGGCTAGAAACAACTTCCATCCCAGCCCCAAACTCCCAGCACCCACTGCCCTGTCCCCCTCTCTCCTCAAAGGGCCTACCTGCCATCTTGAATCTCTTTTACACTGGGACATAGGTGGGCCTATTGGGTGGCCATGTTGCTCCCACTTGGGGCATCCCCTTTGACTGAGCTGACTGTATACAAATACTCCTGACAAATGTAATGATCTTTCCCTCCCCTAGTGTTCAATTTTGGAGGAGTAAGGTCGCCAACTTATCCTGGCTCCTCAGAAATCAGGACAATCCATTATGGAAAGTTGGAGATCCCAGGACTCTTCCACTGGAGAGATATCACACATGAGTCTGGAGACGCGGGTGGCTAGGTGTGGGGAAGACAGCATATGGGAAAGGAGGAGTCCCGGGGGCCAGATCTGGGGGCCCAAAGGATGCGGGTTTGATGTAGCTGGTGAAAGCTCGAGGGTGGGGTGTGGTGAGGTAGCCTGCCCGGGTTCTGTAAAGTCTGCAGGGGGGTACCATGCCCAGGTGTGGGTTGAAGTCATAGAAGGTGGGGGCCCCTGGGGGCCCAATGGGGGAGGGTGGTGGCAGGAAGAGGCCTCCTCCAGGGGCTTCGCCAAGGCTCAGGCTCACACTGACTCCTCGGACCTTGTAGTAACCGTTGGTTGGGTCCTGAGGGGACAAATGGGACTCAGTAAGGCCTGTGAGCATGCAGGGGGGATGAGGGTCACTGATGGGTGACACTGAGGGTCACACACTGAAATACACCAGACCTTGAAAGAAACAAAAAGTGACAGGAATGGGCAGAGACACAGAGACACACATGGACTGGGAGAGAGAGAAAGTGAGACAGAAGAACAGTGACAAGAGGCAAAGGGATAGGACATGGGCAGAGAAAGGTAGAGACAGAGGGATATAGGCCTGCTGAGGGGTGTCAGTGTGGAAGATGCAGAAGGAACAGGAGAGAGGCACTCACCTGCCCAACAGCCTCTAGGCTTTGATTCAGTGTCATGCCCTGTGTTGCTGCTACAAGGCATGTCACTAAGATAGAACTGAACCCTGTCCTCACACCAAGGGAAAAATGACAAATCATGAGACAGTACCCAGAGGGGTCAGGGCCGTGCCTGGGAAAGTCATAGGCAGTGACAGGGGCTGTGATGGCAGAGCCCTCAGCATAGCGAGTGGGATAAGGAAGCCCAGATCAGAGTGGTCATAGTTGTGATGGGTGGAACACAGGCAGAATGATTGGGCTGTCATGATGGAAGCATGTTGCGGGAAGTCAGGGACCCTGAACAGAGGGACCAGCTGGAGCCACGGCAGAGGAACATAAATTGTGATCACTTTAATATGGACATTTATCAGTTCCCAAATATACTTTTATAATTTTTTATGCCTGTCTTTAATCTCTTAATCCTGTTATCTTCATAAACTGAGGATGTATGTCACATCAGGACCACTGTGATAATTGTGTTAACTATACAAATTGATTGTAAAACGTGTGTTTGAACAATATGAAATCAGTGCACCTTGAAAAAGAACAGAATAACAGCTATTTTTAGGGAACAAGGGAAGACAACCATAAGGTCTGACTGCCTGAGGGGTTGGGCAAAAAGAGCCTCATTTTTCTTTTTGCAGAGAGCCTATAAACGGATGTGCAAGTAGGAGAGATATCACTAAATTCTTTTCATAGCAAGGAATATTAATATTAATACCCTGGGAAAGGAATGTCTTCCTGGGGGGAGGTCTGTAAACGGCCAACTCTGGGAATGTCTGTCTTATGTGGTTGAGATAAGAACTGAAATATGCACTGGTCTCTTGTAGTACCCTCAGGCTTACTAGGGTGGGGAAAATCTCTGCCCTGGTAAATTTGTGGTCAGACCGGTTCCCGGTTCTCTGCTCTCGAACAATGTTCTCTGTTGTTTAAGATGTTTATCAAGACAATATGTGCACCGCTGAACATAGACCCTTATCAGTGGTTCTACTTTTGCCCTTTGTCCTGTTCCCTCAGAGGCATGTAATCTTTGTTAGACCCTTCTAGTAGTTCTGCTTTTTGCCTTTTGAAACAAGTGATCTTTGTACCTACTCCCTGTTCTTACACCCCTCCCCTTTTGAAACTCTTGATAAAAACTTGCTGGTCTGAGACTCAGGTGGACATCACAGTCCTACCAATATGTGATGTCACCCCTGGTGGCCCATTCCTCTCTTTATACGGTCTCTTTTTATTTATCAGCCAGTTGACACAGAAAATAGAAAGGACCTATGCTGAAATACTAGGGGGGATTCCCCCAATAGAGCATGGGCTTCCTGGAACAAGAAATGTCTGAGCTGAGACTGGAGGACTAAAGGAGGGAATGAGGTAGACATGGGAAGAAAGGTAGGAGTGTTTCAGGCCAAGAGAATGACATGTCGGCTGGGTACGGTGGCTCACGCCTGTAATCCCAGCAATTTGGCCGAGGTGGGCAGATCACTTGAGGTCAGGAGTTCAAGACCAGCCTGGCCAACATGGTGAAACCCCATCTCTACTAAAAATACAAGAAAAATTAGCCCAGCTATTGGGAGCCTGAGGCAGGAGAATGGCTTGAACCCAGGAGCAGAGGTTGCAGTGAGGCCGAGATTACAACCACTGCACTCCAGCCTGCGGCAACAGAGTGAGACTCTGTCTCAAAAAAAAAAAAAAAAGGAGAGAGAAAAGGAGAGAATGGCAGTGCCTAGTACAGAGAGAGAGAGAAGTGCTCCTGGCCTGGGGATGGCCTGGAGTCAATGTGGCTGTCCTGAAGGTAGGACCCCAAGAGAAGGACAGGTTGGGGGGGAGATAATGGGCCAGTGTAATAGGGCCTGAAAGGGGCTGACCGTGATGGAGGAGAGCACAGGCATAGTGAGCCCCATCTCGGGGTGGGACAGATGTGTGGGCAGAGTCTGCAGATAAGGCAACTGAGGCCTGGGGCGTAGGCTGAGTTGGTCCCAGGGGGCAGGAGCGAGTGGGGTGGGAGCTGAGTCCCAGTTCTGAGGACAACAGAAGGAAAAGGAGGGGGCAGGCGTGGGGAGAGGATGAACACACTGAACGGATGCCCCGCCTCTCCCAACAGTGAGGGAGCACCCCTCCCGGATACTCCACCTTGGTCTCCAGATCTTCCTCCTCCAGAGAACCCAAGACACTGGTGTCCAGTGTGCACAATGGGCCCTGGGGTAGGGAACTAGTGAGAGGAATAGTTCAGAGATACCCCCGCCAATGCCAGACCCAAAGGACCTTCCAGCCAGCCAGTGGGAGGCCAAGGCAGGAAGAGTAAGACACCCCGAGCAGCTGGGGAACTCGTCACTCCAGGACAATAAAAGGCCTGTGAGAAGCCCAGGCACAGTGGCTCATGCACTATAATCAGCACTTGGGAGGCCGCAGCGGCGAGGTCACTTGTAGGCCAGAAGTTGAACCAACTCGGCTAACCATGTGGAACCTGTCTCTGCCGAAAACGCAAAAAAAGCAGCCAGGGCCATGGTGGCCAAGGAGCCTTAATTTCCAGCTACCAGCGAGGCTAAGGAAAGCGAGAATCGCTTGAACTGGGAGAGGTGGATGGCTGCAGATGAGTCAGGATCATACACACTATTCCAGTTTGGACAACAAAAGCCAAGACTTGTCTCTATAAATAAATAAACTAAATTAAATAATAAATAAATAAAAAGGCCAGGTGTGTGGCTTACACCGTAATCCTAGCCACTTTGGGAGGCCAAAACGTGGGCCGGACTCACGAGGTCAGGAGAACCCCCAGACCCACCCTGGCTACATGGTGAAAACAACCCGTCTACTAAAAAAAAATGCAAACCAAAAAAAAAAAACGAAAAAAACAAAACATCTCAGGTACTGGATGGCGGGCGTGGCCTGTAGTCACGCTACCTCCGGGCTGAAGTAGGACGAATGGGCGTAAAACCGGCGAGCAGAGCTTGCAGTGGAGCTTAGTCGCAGCCACTGCCACTCCACGCATTGGGTGACAGAGCAAAGACTCCGTCTCAAAAAACAAAAAATAAAAAAAATAAAAGGCCGCGCCACCCCCCGTGGCTCACGCCTGTAATCCTGCACTGTTGGGAGGCCGAGGCGGCGCGGAATCACGAACGGTCAGGAGATCGAGACCATCCTGGGCTAACACGGCGAAACAATCCGTCTCTACTAAAATACAACAAAATTAGCCGGCGCAGTGGCCGGGCCGCCTGTAGTCCAGCCTACTCGGGAAAGGCTGAGGCCAGGAAGAATGGCGTGACCCGGGAGCGGCGGAGCTTTGCAGTGAGCCGGAGATTCGGCCCACCTGCCACTCCAAGCCTCTGGGCCGAGGGAGTGAAGACTCCGCCTCAAAAAAAAAAAAAAAAAAAAAAAAAAAAAAAAGGGCTGTGAGGATATAGTGGGCCTAGGGAATAATCGGGTCAGGGGCATGGACTTGGGTGACATTTGGGTGCGGGGTCACTGTTAAGACTAGAGCCCTCAGGCTGGGCGTGGAGGCTCATGTCTGTAATCCCAGCACTTTGGGAGGTCAAGGCGGGTGGATCACCTGAGGTCAGGAGTTCGAGACCAGCCTGGCCAATATGGCGAAACCCAATCTCTACTAAAAATACAAAATCAGTCAGGTGTGGTGGCAGACGCCTGTAATCCCAGCTACTCAGGAGGCTAAGGCAGGAGAATCACTTGAATCAGGGAGGCAGAGGTTGCAGTGAGCCAAGATTGTGCCACTATACTCCAGTCTGGGTGACAGATGGATTCTGTTTAAAAAAAAAAAAAAAGACTAGAACCTCCTACTTTAAAAAAAAAAAAAAAAAAAGGAGACAGGGTCTTGCTCGTTGCCCAGGCTGGAGTGTGTGGTGCAGTCATAGCTCACTGCAGCCTCTACCTCTTGTGCTCAGGGATCCTCCCACGCTCAGTGTCCTGAGTAGCTGGGACTATAGGTGTGTGCCACCATACCCGGTTCATTTTTTATTTTATTTTATTTTATTTTGTATTTTTGTAGAGATGGGGTCCCGCTATGCTGCCCAGGCTGGCTTCGAATTCCTGGCCTTAAGTGATCCTTGTGTCTCCACCTCCCAAAGTGGTATTACCAACGTCAGGCACCATGCCTGGCCTTAGAGTCCTGTTTGAATTTGGGGGCCCTCTTGGGACTGGGCTACTATTTGGGTCTAAAGGCACAGTCGGGTCTGGAGACCCTGGCATCCTACCCGGTCCTCGCGGCTGCCTGTCTCCTCTTCTTCAGGGCCTCGCGAACTGCAGCCGTCGCTGCTGCCAGGGATTCGCATCAGGTTCTTTTGCTCGGAGAAAGAGGCTGAGGCTGACGAACAGCGACAGGTGGAGTTAAGCGATGGGCGGGGTCACAATGTGTGCAGACCAATAAGCGGGAAGAGAGAGGACTGGGAACCAATGAGGCGGATCGGGTGGGGATGTTGGAAACCGATAAGAATCCTTCCCACCTAGGAATGTGACCCTGGGAAGGTCTGGTTAGGGCTTAAGGAGGGAACCAGAACCTGAAGGCGAGCTAAGCCCTGAGCAGAGCTGGAAATGAGACTGGAGCCAAGGCCCAAGGCCAGGTCAGGTCACTGGGCAGGCAGGGTGTGTGTGGGGCTGGGGCCTGAGGAGCTGGGGCGGGGCTCAGGCACTAACCCTTGCCGTGGCGCCAGCAGCAGAGGGCCACCCCAGTGATGACCATAAGGAGAGTCGTGGTGGCAGCGGCCACTCCGGCCACTATCCGCACAGTGGGCAGCAGGTCTGCAGGGAGCAGAGGGGACATCCTGAGAAGGCTGAGGGGGAACCAGGAAGCGGGGGCTCAGGGATTGAGTTTGGGATCCCTGGGTTCAAAAGGTCGCACATTTGGAGATTCAAAGGCCCTTGAATTTGGGGTTCCCCAAGTTTGAGAGTGAGTTTAAACTCCCTGGCTTTAGGAAGTCTTGGAGTTTGAGGGGTCCTTTACTTTGCAATTTGCTTTGCAATCGTTAGAGTTTCTCTTTTTGGGGTCCCTAGGTGTGAGGAGTCTCTCGGTTTAGGATTCAGAATGTGAAGGCATTTGTGGTTGGGGGGGTCTTGGGAATCTGAGCCACAGTTTTGAGACTCCCAAGGTTTGGAGGTCTCTGCATTAGAGGGTCTGAGGTTTTGCAACCATCGGCTGGGGGATCCCTGAGTTTGTGGGGTTTAGACTCTCCAGATTTGGGGTCTTAGGGCTGGGGTCTCACCTCTACGACCCAGGCTGGCCCGGGCACCTCCCTCGCCCAGCCGGTTCCGGGCACTGCAGTTAAAGTTCCTGCTAAAGTCAGATTCCTGAGTCCCCGAAATGTGTAGCACAGAGATCAGGCCCGGACCCTGTCCCCCGCGGCCCTCCGGGGCAGGGAATGTCTCCACCAGGAACCGGCCCCGCGACCCCGCCTCCAGAAAGCCCTCATCCCAAGACCAGACCTGGGGGCATAAAAGAGGGAGGACACCGAGGGGACTGAGGAGGGGAGGAAGAAGCAGGAGGGATGTCTGGGAAGTCAGAGATGGTCACAGTAGTTTCAGGGGGCCAGGTGGGAGGTCAGGGATCACAGCTGGATGGGTCACGGGAGGAGTGACTTTTCCTTACCACGGCATCTGGGGTGGGAGAGGCGAAAACCAGACACTGGAGGCGAGCAGGGCCCCTCAGGAAGGCAGGCTCAGAATGCAGGGCGGTCACTACTGGGGGAGCTGGGATGGAGACAGTGGGTCACTCAGAGGAGAGGCCTTGCTCTCCCCAAAGGCTGTAACAAAGCCGGGTCTGGCCAGCGCACTCTCCGCTAACCTTAATCAATCAGGACATGCTGCCTCCAAACTCCCATTCCCCTAAAAGCCTCGCCTTCAATAGGTCGGTCTCCAGGCCCCGCTGGGTGTAAGGCTCCTTCCAGGCCACTCCCACTGCATTAGCCCTTGCCCCCTCTGTCCACTCCCTATCCCAGGGCGGGCTACCCCTAGGAAGCCCCGCCTTCTCACCGTTCACAGTCAGCCGAGCCTCCGCGACGCCACCCCCCTGGTCCGAGAGCCCAGGCTCAGCCCTGCACACATAGTCGCCTGCGTCCTCCGGTCCCACCGACGGAAGGCGCAGTGTGGCTCCAGAGCCCAGCACCTGCGACAGGGAAGGGGTGTCAGAAGCCGGATTTGCAAGGAAGCCTGGTCCCCCGCCAGCCACCGCCTCAAGATTTAGGGCTGCACCTGCGCGCCACCGCGGCGGGTCCAGGTTACCCGTGGAAGCGGGTTCCCGCGCCAGGCACAGCTGAAGGAGGCGTCTTCCCCCACGTCCACGGACACGGGCTCCGGCTTTGCCTGCAGAATCGGCCCAACTGGACGAAGGAGATGAGGGGTCACAAGGCCGGGGAGAAATAGCCCCTGACCCGGGATCAGCCCCATAGAAACACCACACCCTCTAGGGTGCAAGAATATGCCCCAAGTCCACTCTCTCCTCCTCCTAATACCCCACGCCCACTCTCCCAGCCCCGCCCCTCCAAGCCCCTCAGCAACCCTGAAAGCCTCGCCCACCTTTGACCACACCCACAGCCCCGCCCCAGCTCACAAAGCACATCCGGCGCAGTGCTGCGGTTGGCGCTACCCACGGCGTTGCTGACCTCGCAGGACACGGGCTCAGTCAGGAACGAGGCGTCTGCCACGACCTCCAACCTTGGCCCGCGGGCCCCGAGCACCGGGGAGCCCCCTTTTGCCCACCTGAGGAAATGGTGGCGCTGTTAGCGTTGTCCCTGCTCTCCGTCACACTTACTCAGGTCCCAGCCCTTCCCAAGCTCACTCTTGGGGCTAGGGAGAGGTGGTCTTCGTCCTCACCTGTAGCCTGTGACAGAAGGCTGGGCTGTGGCCTGGCACAGGAAAGTGACCTTCTCTCCCTCCTGCACAGTGCGTGGTGAAGCAGACAGTCACCTCTGGGGGGTCTGTGAGGGTGGGACAATGGTCAGGTGGGCAAGGACCAGGAACACCTCTGTCACTGGCCTAGGGGTCCATTCTCTGGTTCCTCCACCCCAGGAGTCTGGGCCCCTAATCCCCTTCTCCCTTTGAGTCAGGAGTCTGGGCGTTCAGTTCCCAATTCCCCCAGTTACTTCTATCCTTTCCTACTCTCCCAGATGTGAGAGTCAAGACCCAGCTTCCTCTTTCCCCAGGGACCCCAGCCATCTGTCCTCTCCTGCTCCGAGTCTCACTCTGTTGCCAAGTGGCACGATCTCAGCTCACTGCAACCTCTGCCTCCCGGATACAAGTGATTCTCCTGCCTCAGCCTCCCAGGTGGCTGGGATTAAAAACGTGTGCTATCATGCCCAGCAAATTTTTGTATTTTTAGTAGAGACGGGTTTCGACATGTTAGCCAGACTGGTCTCGAACTCCTGAACTCAGATGATCCACCCGCCTCGGCTTCCCAAAGTTCTGGGAGTACAGGCATGAGCTACCATACCCGGCCCTCTCCTACTCTCTTAGATCCAGGAATCCAGGTCCCAGTTTCCTCATTCCCCAGGGGCCACAGTCCCCTCCTTCCTCATACCCAGGAGTCAGGGCCCCACACCCCTCTTTCCCAGGGCCAGCTGCACTCACACTGCAGGCTCAGTGTGATAGCTGTGTCCCTTCCCGCAGGCAGGGCCTGGCTCCGGGCCCTGCAGACCAAGGTGGCTCCATCATCATGGCTGGAAGGGGTCAGGGTTAAGGTGCTCTCCACTGATCCAGGGGTCCCTTCCTTCAGCAGGGTCTGGAGGGATGGATAAGAATAATAATGCCATCTACCCCTTACATCAGGGGTGTCCAATCTTTTGGCTTCCCTGGGCCATATTGGAAGAAGAATTGTCTTAGGCCACACATACTAACACTAATGATAGCTGATGAGCTAAAACAGTTACAAAAAAGGCTCATAATGTTTTAAGAATGTATATGAATTTGTGGTGGGCCACATTCAAAGCCGTTCTGGGCTGCATGCAGCCCACAGGCAACAGGTTGGATAAGCTTGCCTTACTTATATAGGGTTCACTATGTGTTGGGCACTCTTTTGGGCATTTATAGGTATTTATTTATTTAATCCTCACAATACCCTATGACATGCATTTTTATTATTATTCCAACTGTATAGATAAGGCAACTGAGGCACAGAGAGGTTAACTAAAGATCAATCAACTAGCAAGTGGCTGAGACATGATTTGAACCCAGGTAGTCTGGCCCTAGAATCTTTACCCTGCATCATATTTCAAGAGTCCAAACCCTTGAACCCCTGCCCTCCCATGTCTTCTTCTCCTTGGGATGAGCCTGCGGTCAGAGTGTACCCCAAGTTTTCCTGAATGCGCAAAGGCTAGCACAGGAATTTGGACCTCACCTGATGGAAGGTGGTTCCATCCAACCGGACCCCATCTCGGAACCACAGCAATTCAGGGGTAGGGCGGGCATCCCCACGGCTCCGACATGTCAGGTTCACAGGAACTCCAGCAATGAGAGACACGGAGGGGCCGCCCAGCACCTGGGGAGCTTCTGGGGGGACTGCAAGGTGGATTTGGGGTCAGAGATGGATCCGGATCCTCTCAGTTCCAATTGACCACTCCCCTGGGCTCCCTGGACTCTGCTACTCACGGCTAGTACTGGTTGCCCCCTTGGGCTCCCAGGGGACAAGTGGGCGAGGTCCTTACCCAGCACGTGCAGTTGGGCTGGTCTCGAGCGGAGGCCTGCTTGTGTAGCCTGACATTCATATGATGCTTCATCCTCTAGCTCCACGGGCCTAATGTGGAGGTCATGCTGGCCATTGGCTGCATTCCCTGATATCCAGTACCGGGACCACCCTGGAGTCAGGGAGGAGGCAGCACGCCATGGTTCTGACTGGTCCACACATTTGGTGGTAAGACACTATTAAAGAGTGTGTACTGGGCCCATAGAGACTCTAACTCCCTCCCAACCCAGAGTCACTGCAAACTTGGGGGTAATAAATTCAGAAAGGAAAACAAGCAAATGATTGCCATAAAAGTTAGGTTAGATACTACTTCTGGAGTGAGGGGGAGGGGGGCTATGATAGGGGAAAGGAATACGGGGGCTTCTGGGGAGCTAGCAGTGGACTTGGGTATTGGCTGTGTGAGTGTCTATATTATTTGGTAAACCTTCCGTTTATGTTTACTGTACTTTTTTGCATTTATGTTCTCTTTCTTTTCCTTTCTTTTTTTTTTTTTTTTTTGAGACACGGTCTCACCATTACCTGGAGTGCAGTGGCTTGATCATGGCTCACTGCAGCCTTGAACTCCTGGGCTCAAGGCTATCCTTGAGCAATCCTACCACCTCAGCCTACTGAGTAACTGGGACTACAGATGCACATCACCACACCTGGCTAATTTGTCTAAAATATATATATTTTTTCTAGAGATAAGGTCTTGTTACGTTGCCCAGGCTGGTCTCAAACTCCTAGTTTCAAGCTATCCTCTGGCCTCAGCCTCCCAAAGCGTTGGGATTACAGGCGTGAGCCACCGCACCTGGCCTGTTTACTATTTCACAATAACATAATAATTCCAAAACTCTATGGGTCACCCCCAAAGCAGCAGCTCAAAAATCAGGACTCCTAAATGTTTACCCAAGTCCATCAATTTCCCAAACTTAAAATGTCAAAATAGAAACTCCAGGTACAGCCGAGCCCAGCAACTCTACCCCTAGCCAGCCCGTCCCAGCGTGGAGAGAACCGTCTTACCTGGCAGGTCCCTTTGGCCCCCTAGGGCCAGCCCACTCTTAGTCCACTGAACTAGCCCCCAGTAGGCGCCCAGAGCACACTGCAGCCGGGCTTCCTCCCCCAGCAGCACCACCAGGTCCTCTGGCTGTTGCAGGAAATGGGGCGACGGGCCTAGGAAAGTTGGGGGCAGCAGGGCTGAGCTTACACCTTCAAGAGCCCCCTCATTCAGGACCCAGGGGTCCCAGCCCCCAACTCCCTTCTCTCTAGTGAAGGGGCAGCCTGCAAGCAATCCCCCCACACCCACCCCATATTCATCCGCTCCTCTCGTGCGGTACCTGCGCTCCCTCTGAAGCAGAAGAGCAGGACGAGGAGGGCGGGGACCCGCATCTTGAGCGTGTGTCCCCCAAGGTTCACGAGATCTGCCGTCGCACGGGCCTCCCGGTCAACTTCTTCCTCGGAAGCCCTCCTCCTGTCACTCTGGCCCGGAGCCCCCTTCGCGCTCGACTCTTCGCCCCAGCCTAGAGAACCCCTGTCTCTGGCCTGGAGTCCTCCAAGTGAGCTCATCCGCAGCCTCTGACGCTCTGAAACGCCTGCCAGTTCCGCGCCCTGGGTCTCTGGGAGACCCCTAGAGGGCCCGATCCAGCTCGCCCCGCCCGGGTCCGCCTCCCAGGAGCTCCGCCCTCTTCCCATTGAGAAACTCCCGCGGCTGGACGCAGATGAATGGGGGATGCAGGGCGGGGTCCCCCGGCGGGTGGGCGCCCCCAGCTCAATTGGGGTCTGGGAGCCGGAACACCTGGGTTCGAGGAGGGAGTCCCGGCTGGGTTGGACACCTGCGCCCTGTCGAGGTTGAGGGGCAGGCATGGGGGTGAAGAGGAGGGAAGGGAAAGAGTGGAAGAAACTTGCTCAGCCCAGGTCCTGGAGGGACTGCGCTGTGGAAACCGAGCTATAAATGGGGGCCCCTGGGGCCTCACCAGTTTCCAGGCCCTGGGGGAGGCGGGGTCCGGGGCTCCCCTGGCTTGCGGGTCGGGAATAGGGCACGCCGATACCTGGGGGACAGTTGGGACCCCTGCCTTGACTCCCCCAGCCTCAAAACCCCTCCTCAAAGTGGGGAACAGAGGGCTGTTCCCTTGTTACTGCTGCAAACGTCCTAAGACCGAGGAATCCAGGACCCCGGCCCCTCCTTTCCCAGGACCCCGCAGTCCTGGTCCAGCCCCTCTCCCCACTCGGCCAGCCGGGCCCCTCGGCCTGGTTGCCGGGCGACGGCTGGAAGGCGGCGGTGCCGGGCCGGGGCAGGCAGGGAGGCTGGGAACCGCGCAGCTTGTCCTGAGGCTCCATGCAGCCCAGCTGGGGCGTTCCCACGCTGCGCAGCTGGCCGAGCAGGTGGGAGGGACCTCGAGCAGCCTGAAGGAGGGCTGGGGGGCTGGGACCCTGATCTGACATTCCTGGACCTGTAAGAACTGGGGGGTCCACATTCAGATTCTACGCTGTTCTTAGGCTCAGACTCTGTGTCCCTAAACGGCGGGGTGGGGTTGGGAATAGGGGTTGGACTTACAGGATTGTAAGGGACTGGTGGTTCAGGCCTTTGCTGGCTGAGACGCTGATGGCCTGATCTCCTGGTTCCTTGAGAGGCTGGAGACTCAACTCCTAGGTCTCCTGCTTGCAGCATGGTGCACTTGGAAGAGGGTGACAGGGGTCAGAATATCTGGTCTTAAGTCTTAGAGTCGGTGGATTTAACTGCCAATCTCTCTCCACCCCCACATGGGCCCAGGAGGATTTGGAAATCAGACGGTGAACATCTGTCCTAAGTCCTGTGTGTGTGTGTGTGTGTGTGTGTCTGTGTGTGTGTGTGTGTATGCGGCCGGTGCGGGGGGTGGGAGGGATGCAGGGACGGGTAGGGTGGCCAGGAGGATCAGAGGCCCAAATTCCTGAGTCCTTGGAGAGAAGGGACTGAGACCCCAGGGTCTGAGAGGGGAGGGATCTGGGGGCCTACACTCCTGGCTTCTATGTGGCATATCTAGTGCATGGATTTTGAAATAGGATGGCATGGGCCCAGAACTCCTGAGTCTTGGGGAGGAACTCAAGTAGTGGGACTGTTTTTCCAGCCACTTGATGCCGCTTCCCCTTCCTGGCTCTCTGGGGCGACGTACATGGAAAGATGGAGAACCCGAGGTCCCAAGAGCACTCGGAGAAAGAAAACAGACAAGGTGGAGGGTGGAAGGTTTGTGCTAATTAAAGGCCCCAGCAAGGGACAGCTCCATGCTCTGGCCCCTGGGGACACCATCTGGCAAGGGCCCCCAGGACAGAGCCACCCCCCACCAAGCTCGGCATCCAGCCCATTTCCCAGGGGGTGTAGGGGGCAGTTGGGAGAGGGGAGGTGGGAGGAGGGCAAGGGGTCAAGCATGTGAGGGAAGAGGGAAGGCCAGCATGGAGGATGAAGCTGAGGGCTGGGGCCAGATGCCTCATCTCCTTCTGGGGAACGAGATGCAGGTGGAGGGGAGGTCTTGGGGAGGTGGGGAGAAAACTAGCATTTCCAATACCTGCAGGAGATAAGCAGGCAGAAGAAGCTTATCCCAGGCTAGTGTATGTGCATGCGGGGAGGGCAAGCCCACCAGCATATGGTTATAAAATCCAGGGATGTGCTGAGGGGAGCCACTCAGAGATGGAGAGACACATAAGGGAAAGAGGCGTGGTCAGAGTGCAGCTAAGAACAAATATTTATGGAGCTCCTGGTGTATGTAAGACAGAGTGTGGGGTGAGGGGAGAGACAGAGGTGAGAACAGAGACAGAGAAACAGAAGAACAGAGACATGTAGAGACAGAGAGACAGTGAAATAAAGATTGACTGAGATTTAACCACTTAATACAGAGAGAGAGAGAGAGAGTCTCAAACAGATGGAGAAACGTAGAAAGATAAATCAGCTGAGCACGATGGCTCACACCTGTAATCCCAACACTTTGGGAGGCTGAGGTGAGTGGATCACCTGAGGTCAGGAGTTCAAGACCAGCCTGATCAACATGGAGAAACTACATCTTTACTAAAAATACAAAAAATTATCCAGGCGTGGTGGCGCATGCCCGTAATCCCAGCTACTAGGGAGACTGAGGCAGCAGAATCGCTTGAACCTGGGAGGCAGAGGTTGCAATAAGCCGAGATCACACTGCTGCACTCCAGTCTGGGCAACAAGAGCGAAACTCCATCTCAAAAAAGAAAAAAAAAAAAAAGAAAGAAAAGAAAAGAAAACAAAAAGAAAAAAAGAAAGACAAATCAAGGGCTGGGTGCGGTGGCTCATGCCTGTAATCCTAGTACCTTGGGAGGCTGAGATGGGAGGATTGCTTGAGCCCAGGAGTTCCAGACAAGCCTGGGCAACAGAGCAAGACACTGTCTCTGTAAAAACATTTTTAAAAAATTAGCCAAGTGACCAGGCGCAGTGGCTCACACCTATAATCCCAGCACTTTGGGAGGCCAAGGCCGGTGGGTTACCTGAGGTCAGGAGTTCGAGGCCAGCCTGGCCAGCATGGTGAAACCCCATCTCTACTAAAAATACAAAAATTAGCCTGGTGTGGTGGCTGATGCCTGTATTCCCAGCTACTCGGGAGGCTGAGGCAGGAGAATCGCTTGGACCTGGGAGGCAGAGGTTGCAGTGAGCCGAGATCGTACCATTGCACTCCAGCCTGGGTGACAGAGCAAGAAACTCCTTCTCCAAAAAAAAAAAAAAAACCAGAATGGTGATGTGGCCCTGTAGTCCCAGCTACTCAGGAGGCTGAGGCAGAAAGAAACACTTGGCCCAGGAGGTTTGAGGCTGCAGTGAGCCATGACCACACCACTGCAGTCTAGCCTGGCAATAGAGCAAGACCCTGTCTCTACAAACAAATTTTTAAAGTTAGCTGGAGTGGTAGTGCGCACCTGTAGTCCCAGCTACTCAGGAGGCTGAGGCAGGAGAATCACTTGAGCCCTAGGAAGTTGAGGCTGCAATGAACCAAGATCATGCCACTGCCCTCCAGCCTGGGCAACAGAGCAAGATTCCATCTCAAAAGAAAGAGAGATAAATCAAGATGGATAGAGGGAGGGAGAGAGAGAGACATGGAGAAGGAAAGGAGAGATGGGGGAGACGGCAAGAAAAAGAGACAGAAGAAAGCTCATGCAGTCCTTGCCAAAGGGCGTCCACTCTGGGCTCACACTGCACCCATACTGGGGGCCGGCAGAATTGGACTCTGCCTTTTACTCCTGCCCACACCCTGTGCACTCCCACGTAAGACACTGTCACACACACACACGCTCTCCATGTGCTTATTACAGATCACAGTTCACTCTAACCTTCCCCACTCACACCCACGTACACACACGGATATCTTCCCTCTCTCCTACACTCTCCCAGTCTCTCACACTCACTCTTGCATACTCCCCAGCAGAGATCCCTGACATCATTTAGTTGCTAATGTCTACTCAAGAAAGGAAGGGAGGCCAGGTGCGGTGGCTCATGCCTGTAATCCCAGCATTTTGGGAGGCTGAGGCAAATGGATCGCCTGAGGTCAGGAGTTCAAGACCAGCCTGGCCAACATGATGAAACTCCGTCTCTAGTAAAAATACAAAAATTAGCCAGGTCTGGTGGTGTATGACTGTAGTACCATCTACTTGGGAGACAGAGGCAGAAGAAATTGCTTGAACTTGGGAGGTTCAAGCCATGGGAGGTGAGGCTGCAGTGAGCCGAGATCTGCCACCGCACTCCAGCCTAGGCAACAGAGCAAGACTACTCTGAGAAAAAAAAAAGAAAGAGGCCGGGCACGGTGGCTCAAGCCTGTAATCCCAGCACTTTGGGGAGGCCGAGACGGGCGGATCACGACGGTCCAGGAGATCGAGACCATCCGTGGCTAACACGGGTGAAACCCCGTCTCTACTAAAAAATACAAAAAATAGCCGGGGCGCGAGGTGGCGGGCGCCTGGTAGTCCCAGCTACTCGGGAGGCTGAGGCGAGGAGAATTGGCAATAAACCCGGAATGGCGGCAAATCTTGCTGTGAGCTGAAGATCCGGCCACTGCACCACCAGGCTTTGTGGGGTTGACAGAGGCGAGAACCTCCGTCTCAAAAAAAAAAAGAAAGGAAAGAGACTTCCCAAGGTCATGTATCAGGGCAGGGAAGAGCTGGGGGCCCAGCTGGCTGCTACCCTGCTGAGCTGGGAGACCACCTAGGTCTGACTTCTCCCATCTTCCCAGCCTGAGCCAGGCCCTGGGGTCATGGAGGCTGGGGAGGCACCGAGGAACACGCCTGGCCTGTGCTGACAGGGGATTTTATGCTCCAGCCCAGCTGGCTGGGAGGAGCCTGCTGGGCAGAGGCCAGAGCTGGGGGCTCTGGAGGGCACCTGGGGGAGGTTGCACTGTGAGGATGAGCTCAAGTTGGGTCAGAGAGCAGGGCCAACTCTGCCAGTGCCTGCATCAGCCTCATTGCTGTCCTGGGCTCCTGGCCTGCTAGACTCTGGGCTGCAGGTCCTTCTTGAGAGGCCGTGAGTAGTGAGACAAGGAGCAGGGGTGAGGGGTGGCAGGAGAGAAGATAGAGACTGAGAGAGAGAGAGAGAGAAAGAGAGGACGAGACGAAGACAAAAGGAGAGAGAATGCCTTAGACAAGGAGAGAAAGATGGAAAGATAAAGAGACAGGCTGGGGGCAGTGGCTCATGCCTGTAATCTCAACACTTGGGGAGGCCAAGGCGGGAGGATGGCTTGAGGGAAAGAGTCTGAGATCAACCTGGCCAACATAGTGAGACCTTATCTCTAAAAAAAAAAAGAAAAAAAATTATTTTAAAGGGACAGAGAAAGAGACTCAGAGATTGAGACTGAGAGAGCAAGACAGAGATAGAGAGGCACTGACAGGAGGAGAGGAAAACAGAAAGGGAGGAGAGTAATGGAAAGAGAGATAAAAAGAAAAGCAGATGGCAGAGACACAGAGAGAGGGACCCAGAGAGAGCCAGAGAGACGCAGGTGGCTGGCTGCGGGCACTGCGGGGGTAACAGTAGGGGTACCTGTGATGGCCCTGGGGACGATGTTCAAGGCTCCTCTCCTGCTCCTGGGGCTGCTGACTGAAGGTGAGTGGGATCCCAGCCTTGTACCCAGCGCCAAGTGGCCCCCATTTCCCACTTATCTTCCCTAGACAAACCCTCTGCCCTTTCCTTGCACCCTGCTGTGTCCCCAGGCCTGGCGCAGTTGGTGATTCCTGCCTCCGTCCCCCGGGGCTTCTGGGCCCTGCCTGAAAACCTGGCAGTGGTGGAGGGGGCCTCGGTGGAGCTACGGTGTGGGGTCAGCACCCCTGGCAGTGCGGTGCAATGGGCCAAAGATGGGCTGCTCCTGGGCCCCGACCCCAGGATCCCAGGCTTCCCGAGGTACCGCCTGGAAGGGGACCCTGCTAGAGGTAAGGGATCAGAGCCTGAGACCCTCAGCCACCAGCCGAAGCTGCAACCCTGACCTCCGGCTCCCCCTGCAGGTGAATTCCACCTGCACATCGAGGCCTGTGACCTCAGCGATGACGCAGAGTATGAGTGCCAGGTCGGCCGCTCCGAGATGGGGCCAGAGCTCGTGTCTCCCAGAGTGATCCTCTCCATCCTGGGTATGGGTGACAGACCCCCAGGACCCACGAGTCTGGGCTTCAAGCCCTCCCTTACCCCAGGACCCAGGAGTCCAAGCCCCCAGCCTCTCCTCTCCCAGACCCTCGGTACCGAGCTCCAATCTTCAAATCCTTCTCAGTGCTGGAAGCTTACCCCAGACCCTTCTCACCAGTTCCTCCCAAGCTGCTCTACTTGACCCCAGAGGCAGGCACCATGGTCACCTGGGTAGCTGGGCAAGAGTACGTGGTCAGCTGTTTGTCTGGGGATGCGAAGCCAGCACCTGACATCACCATTCTCCTGAGTGAGTGAGGGTGAACTGGGTGGCAGGGGGCAGCGTGAAGCCTCTGGAGTGGGAAGAGTGTGTGTTCCTGACCAGTGCCCTCCTAAGGCCCCCAGAAAAGATGTCATTCCTGGGATGGGGACCCAGGAGAAGGTGTGGGGAGATGCCGAGGCCAATGTGGAACCTGGTGGATGGGAGGGCACATTGAGGAGGCGGCATCCAGCACAAGGCTGAGGACCAGATAGAGATATGGACAGTAGCGCTGGTGCAGACATGAGAAGCTGAGCGATGGGGTGCATGGTACAACCCAGCAAGGAGTTGAGAGGAGTGGGGAGGCCCAGGACCCAGCACTGAAGATTGCAGCCTTCAGGCAGTCCAGAAAGTTGGGAGGGGATCCAGCTGTGCCCCAGGCCCTTTTCCTCTAGAACCAGGAGGGAGGGAGCATCACATCCACCCTGAGGACTTCCAGGCCATGCTCCCCAGAATCTATCTTGCAGGGAGCCCAGAACCCCTCTAGCCCTCTTGTTGCCCCAAGGTGGACAGACTATATCTGACATCTCTGCAAACATGAACGAGGGCTCCCAGCAGAAGCTCTTCACTGTGGAGGCCACAGCCAGGTGTGGAAACTGAAAAAACCCCCCAACCATGACCCCTAATTTTCCCCATGGGAACCACAGACCCCAGGGATGCAAGCATGAAGCTTGGGCTAGGTATGAACTTCTGCGACCCAATGCTTCTTCATGGGGAACTCTCAGAGCTGACTGTCAAAGCTTCTTCGCAGGGAACAGGGGCGGTGGCTCATGCCTGTAATCCCAACACTTTGGGAGGCTAAGGTGGGTGGATCACCTGAGGTCAGGGGTTCAAGATCAACTGGGTCAACATGGTGAAACCCTGTTTTCACTAAAAATACAAAAATTAGCCTGGTGTGGTGGCGCATGCCTATACTCCCAGCTCGTCGGGGGGCTGAGGCAGGAGAATCGTTTGAACCCAAGAAGTGGAAGTTGCAGTGAGCTGAGATTGCACCACTGCACTCCAGCCTGGGCGACAGAGCCAAATTCTGTCTCAAAAGACAAACAAATAAACAAAAAAACTTCATGGGAACCTCAGTTCCAGAGTCCCAGGCACTGAAGTTTTGATCAGATGTGGGTCTCTCTAGGCTCCAGTTCTCACTGCTCACTCCCAGAAACTCTCCCACGGAACCCCGGATCCCAGAGGAGATCGCCATGGGGACTTAGACCAGGTGTGGGGACCAGAGGTGGCATCCCCACCTCTTCTCCCTGACTCCCCAAATTTCAGATGATGACTCTGACTCCAGAACCGTGAATTCTCATCCCAGGGTGACATCCCAGAGCTCGGATAATGGGCAGTTGCTGGTCTGTGAGGCGTCAAGCCCAGCACTGGAGGCCCCCATCAAGGCCTCATTCACCGTGAATGTTCTGTGTAAGTGGAGAACTGGGCCAACTAGGGCGCTGAGGATGGGGAGCAGGCACTGGGGGGTGTAGGGGAATCACAGGGATTATGGAAATTCAGGCGCTCAGAGAAACATGGGGTTTCAAAAGCAGGTTGTGGGGCCTGGAAAGAGTGGATGGGCTACTCCAGGCCCATTGAGTGACTGATATCCCCCAGTCCCTCCAGGACCCCCTGTCATTGAGTGGCCAGGCTTGGATGAGGGGCACGTGCGGGCAGGACAGAGCTTGGAGCTGCCATGCGTGGCCCAAGGGGGGAATCTCTTAGCCACACTGCAGTGGCTGAAGGTGAGGGCAGACACGGGCATGGGAACTGTGGGGAGAGCGGGGGCCGGGAGCTGGTCCTGAGCTGGCCCAGGCCTGTCCCTGTCTCCAGAATGGCCAGCCGGTGTCCACAGTGTGGGGCACACCCAGGCCGTGGCCCGCAGTGTGCTGGTGATGACCGTGAGGCCAGAAGACCATGGAGCGCGGCTCAGCTGCGAGGCCCATAACAGCGTGTCTGCAGGGACCCAGGAGCGCAGCATCATGCTGCAGGTCACCTGTGAGTCCTGGTGCCAGCTGCCCACCTGTTGGTCTATGCCTCAGAGAACCATCTATGTGTGTCCCCAAATTATGCCTACTGGATGCCAAAGATCTCAGCATCTGTCTCCAGTCCTGTTGTTCTGTCTGGGCTGGTCTGTGAGAAATTCAGCCCAGCTTAGTGTCTTCCCTCTCTGCCCCTGCAGTTCCCCCTAGTGCCATTACTATCCTGGGATCTGCATCCCAGGTTGAGAACAAGAACGTGACACTCTCCTGTGTCAGTAAGTCCAGTAGCCTACGGGTCCTGCTATGATGGTGGCTGGGCTGGCGGCAGCTGCTGCCCACGGAGGAGACGATCATGGATGTGAGGCAGGGGCCAGACTCCTGGGTCTGAGCATGGGGGGTGCTGAGGGCATGACTCGTGGATTGGGAAGGGGATGGGTCCAGCAGCCTGGGGGCTTTCTCCTTGAGGACCATGGGTCCAACAGAGGGGGAGGTAGAGATGGCTCATGTGTCCCTGCTGGGGACTGGGATGGACTCAGGCCTCTAGCACGATGGATGGGAGTGCTGCAGTCCCCACATCTGAAGCTCATTTCCCGCCAGGGACTACATGGTGGTTACATCTCCATGTCCAACCTGACATTCCTGGCGCGGCGGGAGGACAACGGTCTGACCCTCACATGTGAGGCCTTCAGTGAAGCCTTCACCAAGGAGACCTTCAAGAAGTCGCTCACCCTGAACATAAAATGTGAGTGTTTGCCCTTGCCCAGCAATGCCCCCAGGCCTCAGGACCCAGCCCAGAGAAAAAGTCACTCTTCCTGCCTCTCCTTTCAGATCCCGCCCAGAAACTGTGGATTGAGGGTGCCCCAGAGGGGCAGAAGCTCCGGGCTGGGACCCGGGTGAGGCTGGTGTGTTTGGCCATCAGGGGCAACCCAGAGCCCTCCCTCACATGGTACAAGGTTGGTGCCGCGCCAGGGCTATGGGGGTGGCCAGGAATGTGGGGGAAGGACCAGACCCCCTTCTCTCCTTCAGAATCTTGGGCAATCTTGGAAAAAGATTAAATTTCTTGAAAAGTACTAGAGATTCTGAGGTTTGGCAGGGAATCAGGAAAGACACAAATGCCATGAGAATTAAATGGAATCCTAGGAAAATTCTGGGGAAACAGAATTCTAGGATAAAAATTGGAATTCTGAATCAAGATTAGGTATTCTAGAGAAAAGGTAATTTCGTTAAAATTATGGAAAATTCTAGTGAAAAATCTCAGAATTCAGGTGAAATGTCAGGAATTTTAGGGAAAGACTTGAATCCCAGAAAAAAAGAAAAAGAAAAAGAAAATTTGGAGAAAAGCTAGTAATTCCACAGACTATCGAAAATTCATTAGTATTAAATCGAATTCTTGGGATTTGGAGGTAAGAAAATGAAATTTCATTAAAATGAAAGAGAAGCCTAATTCTAGGAAAATCCTGGGAAGTTAGGGAGCTAGTTGAAAATTTTGGGGGGAAGACTAGGAATTATAGAAATGACAATGGAATTTCATTTTAATAGGATAGAATTCTGGGGAAGTGCTGAGAATCTGGGCAATATAAAGGAATCTGTTAAAAGACTGGGATTATAAGATATAATATCGGGAAAGATTCAGAATCTATGGAAAGTTTAATTTGTGCAGCAGCAACAATTAAAAAAAAAAAGAAAGTAATCTATGGAAAGACACTGGAATTAAGGAAAATTTCAAAGGAAATCTTTGGGGACAGTGGGAATTTTAAGAAAAGGAACTGAGGCATTTTGGGAAAGGCCTGGGAATTTCAAGGGAGTTTCCTGCACGTGGTGTTGGGTAAACAGAGCAGAAATAGATTTTGAGGAGTGCGCTGACCGCCTGCAGGTGGCTGCAGAGGCGGAGCGGGGGTCGGGTGTGGTACAGAAGGCAGATTTAGATCCCCAAAACTGCCGTGCACAGGGACCCGGGGAGGCGGGAGAGACTCCAGGGCGGGGGTCACTCAGTTCCACTCCCCACTGCTTTGCCCTAGCGGGGTGGCGCTGATTGGGGTGTTTTTCCTTATCACCAAAAGGCTTTGTCTGGGCTGGCGGCACCAACCCGGTGGGCAGGGTGTGGGAGTTGGGGGTTGGTGGAAGCGGCAGGGCTGCCTGCGGCCCCCAGTCACTCCCGGCCCATAGGACTCGCGCACCGTGACTGAGTCGCGGCTGCCGCAGGAGCCGCGGCGCATGCAGCTCGGCAACGTGGAGAAATCTGGGAGCACTTTCTCCCGAGAGCTGGTGCTGGTCACAGGGCCGTCGGACAACCAGGCCAAGTTCACGTGCAAGGCTGGTCAGCTCAGCGCGTCCACGCAGCTGGCGGTGCAGTGTGAGGGCGCGCACGGCTGAGGCCCGGGGGCGGACTCGGCGGGGGCAGGACGGGGTGGGGGACAGAGCCAGGTGGGGCAGGGACCCAGCGAACCCTGGACTCGAGGGGTGCGGGCGGGGGCGGGGTGGGGGACCCGAGACTGGACCGAGCCTGGAGTGCAGGCGGGATGGATGCAGACCAGGCCGCCCCTAACCTCTGAGTCTCGCTCCTCCAACCCCCTCTCCCAGTTCCCCCAACTAACGTGACGATCCTGGCCAACGCATCCGCACTGCGCCCGGGGGACGCCTTAAACTTGACATGCATCAGCGTTAGCAGCAACCCGCCGGTCAACTTGTCCTGGGACAAGGAAGGCGAGAGGTGGGAGTGCGAGGGACCCCGCCCATCTCTGGCCTCGCCCCCTCCACGCGTGTCCCGCCCCCGCCTAGCCCCTCTCCAGCCTCTGGCTCTGCTCGCAGCCCTGGCCTCACCCCGGGTCCACAGGCTGGAGGGCTTGGCCGCCCCGCCCCGGAGAGCCCCGTTCAGAGGCTCCGCCGCGGCCAGGAGCGTCCTTCTGCAAGTGTCATCCCGCGATCATGGCCAACGCGTGACCTGCCGCGCCCACAGCGCCGAGCTCCGCGAAACCGTGAGCTCCTTCTATCGCCTCAACGTGCTGTGTATGTGCCCTGGCCTGAAAGGTCCTCTTGATGCCTTCCTGACCCTAACCTACTCCTTGCGTCTTCCCCGCCCCCCCTTTTTTTTTTGACGGAGTCTGGCTCTGTCACCCAGGCTGGAGTGCAGTGGCGCGATCTCGGCTTACTGCAAGCTCCGCCTCCCATGGTTCACGCCATTCTCCTGCCTCAGCCTCCCGAGTAGCTGGGACTACAGTCGCTTGCCACCATGCCCGGCTAATTTTATTTTTGTAGTTTTGGTAGAGACAGGGTTTCTCGATCTCCTGACCTGGTGATCCGCCCGCCTTGGCCTCCCAAAGTGCTGGGATTACAGGCGTGAGCCACCACGCCCGGCTCCCTCCCTTTCTTCCTTCCTTCCTTCCTTCCTTCCTTCCTTCCTTCCTTCCTTCCTTCCTTCTCTCTTCTTTCTCTCTCTCTCTCTTTTTTTGATGGAGTCTCCCTCTGTCGCTGGGGCTGCAATGCAGTGGTGCAATCATAGCTCACTGCAGCCTCCAACTTCTGAGCTCAAGTGATCCTACCTCAGCCTCCTGAGTAGCTGAAACTACAGGTGTGCACTTCCACTTTTGGCTAGTTTATTTTAATTTTTTTGTAGCGACAGGGCCTCACTATGTTGCCCAGGCTGGTCTTGAACCCCTGGGCTCAAGCAATCCTCCTGCCTTGGCCTCCCAAAGTGCTGGGATTACAGGCGTGTCCCACTACACTAGGCTGATTTTTTGTACTTTTAGTTTTAAATAGAGATGGTATCTCTCTATATTGCCCAGGCTGATCTTGAACACCTTGACTCAAGTGATCCTCCTGCCTTGGTCTCCCAAAGTTCTCGGAGTATAGGCGTGAGCCACTGAGACTGGCCTGGGTCTTTGCTTTGACACTATCACTCCATCATTAACCCCATCCTGAAACTTGAAACTCCCTACCTTCATCCTGACCAGTGGTCCTGGGCCAAATCCTATCCTGTCCACTCCCATATTGCCTTTGTCCTCTCTCCTAACCCTGATCCCTATCATGATCCCTCTTTCCATCCTTCAACCTGATGCTGGCTTCTACTCTTTTCCTAAACTGTATTCTAATTTCTATCCCGAACTTTACCCCTGAATTCAGTTCTGAACTTGTTACCTTGCCGACAACCTTAAACGCTGTCGTGATCCCCCAACTTTAACCCTTGAACCTGTGCCTGATCTCCAATCTGTCCTTGACCCTGACCTTGACAACAATCTTGACTCCCTGCGGCGCCCCCTCTGAAGACCGTCCAGAGTTCCTGGGGGAGCAGGTGCTGGTGGTGACCGCGGTGGAGCAGGGCGAGGCGTTGCTGCCCGTGTCCGTGTCCGCTAACCCCGCCCCCGAGGCCTTCAACTGGACCTTCCGCGGCTATCGCCTCAGTCCAGGTGAGGGAAGTGGGCATGGAGAAGGGTCCCGGAAATGGGAGGGCCTGCCAGGTCCTTTATTCTGGCCTTCCCCAGCGGGCGGCCCCCGGCATCACATCCTGTCCAGCGGGGCTCTGCATCTGTGGAATGTGACCCGCGCGGACGACGGCCTCTATCAGCTGCACTGCCAGAACTCTGAGGGCACAGCGGAAGCGCTGCTACGGTTGGACGTGCACTGTGAGTCCCGCCCACCATGGAAACCACACCCATCCAAGGAACTTTGCCCAATGTGGAGTCTCCTTATTGTGGGAGCTCCGCCCACCCGGGGATAGCCACCCATCCTGGAACCCTCCCGCTCTGGCTCTGGAAGTCCCCGCCGCGGTGTAACCACGCCCACTGCGGAACCCCTTCCACTAGAGAGACCCAGTGTGAAATCTCTGTCCAGAGAGGGGGCCCACCTAGACACAGAAGCTGCTCCCGTCAGGAATGGGAGCCCGTTGTAGAAGGCCCCCCCCCCGCACAATTCTGGAAGCCCACCCAACCCACTCTATCACAGAGGCATAGTGGAGGGTGGAGACAACTCACCAACCTTGAGAACTCTCCAACTGTTTCGTATTAAGGGCAGATTGTGTCCATATCTCTAACTTTCCTGGAACCCCTAAGACATCCCTCCCACCTGGGGCCCTCTCCCACGAAGACCTGTCTGGTCCCAAGTGCCTTCCCCAAGCCTCTGCCTTCCACCAGATGCTCCCACCATCCGTGCCCTCCAGGACCCCACTGAGGTGAACGTCGGGGGTTCTGTGGATATAGTCTGCACTGTTGATGCCAATCCCATTCTCCCAGGCATGTTCAGCTGGGAGAGACTGGTGAGGACCCAGCCTTTGGTGAAAGGAGGTGGGGTCAAAGGGTTGTGGTTTCTTGACTGTGAGTTCCTTGGGAGTGGGGACCACGTACATCTGTATGATCCTGTATAACTATATACTCGTCAGGGCATGCTCCCAGAACGAATAACTGTTGGTGGCAAAATGAATGGGTGGATGAATGGTAGACAGTCAGGCGAGTGGGTGGGTAGATGGATAGATGGGTCGATAGGTAGGTAAGTGGATGAACAGGTGGATGAATGAGTGAGTGGATGGAGGAACAGATGGACAAGTGAAAGGATGGATAAATGGGTGAGTGGATGGGTGAGAAGATGATTGAAGGAGAAAAATCAGTGGATAGATAGAGGGTAGATGGATGGATGGATACACCAGCAGAGGAAAGACATCTATGGAAGGATGATGGATGAATTGATGGATAGATGGGTGGAAAGATCAATGGAGAGATGAATAAATAGGTAGCTGGGTAAATGTCTGAACAGATGCATGTATTTATGGGTGTGCAAGCATGAGTGAATAGTTGTGTGAATGGGTGGAGAGCTACAAAGGTGGATACATGGGTGCAGAGAAAGAAGACAAATGGGTGGAGGAATGAGTGAGTAAACCGATGAGTGGATGGAAAGATAAATGGATGAATGGATAGATAAGCAGATGGATAAATGAATGGATGGATGGATAGATGGTTCCAAGCATAAGTGGTTGGGTGAATGGATGGGTAGGTGGTTGCCTGGATTGGTGGATAAAAAGATGGATTGGGTAAATGGATAGATGGATGACAGAAGAATTTTTTTTTTTTCTTCAATACCTCTGTGGAGAATGATTGTGTCTAGGAGAATGAGGCTACAAAAGGGACAGTTTGGGCAGTGATGGGTCTGGGGCTAGACTGGGAGGCCATTTCTTGACTCGGGCCTCCAGGGAGAAGATGAGGAGGACCAGAGCCTGGATGACATGGAGAAGATATCCAAGGGACCCACGGGGCGCCTGCGGATTCACCAGGCCAAACTGGCCCAGGCTGGTGCTTACCAGTGCATCGTGGACAACGGGGTGGCGCCTCCAGCACGAGGGCTGGTCCGTCTTGTTGTCAGATGTGGGTATCACCCAAACACCTGACTTTAAGACCTGCCACTGAACCCACAGCCCTCATGTCTCCCACATAGCTCATGTTGACCTCCCATCTCCTCCCAGTTGCCCCCCAGGTGGAACACCCCACTCCCCTAACTAAGGTGGCTGCAGCTGGGGACAGCACCAGTTCTGCCACCCTCCACTGCCGTGCCCGAGGTGTCCCCAACATCGTTTTCACTTGGACCAAAAATGGGGTCCTTCTGGATCTCCAAGATCCCAGGTGAGCCCAGGCCCAGCCAGGCAGCACTCCAGCCCCAGGTCTGGACCTCCAGCCCCATTTCCCCTCCCCGAGTCCCTGCAGAGAAGGGTGCAGAGAAGGAAGATGAATGTGTGGAGGAATGAGTGAGTGAATGGATGAGTGGATGAAAAGATTAATGGATGAATGGATAGATAGGCAGATGGTTAAATGAATGGATGTCTGTATAGATGATTCCAAGCATAAGTGGTTGGGTGAATGAAAGGGTGAGTGGTGCCCTACCTTCTCTCTAGGTACACAGAGCACACATACCACCAGGGTGGTCTCCACAGCAGCCTCCTGACCATTGCCAACGTGTCTGCAGCCCAGGATTACGCCCTCTTCACATGCACAGCCACCAACCCCTTAGGCTCGGACCAAACCAACATTCAACTCGTCAGCATCAGTATGGAAGGGCTGTGAGGGTGTTGGGGAGGGGGTGCTCCTTGGATCCATTCTCACATCCCTGATTGGCCCCGGGCTGCCCACGTTTCTGAAACCTGAGAATATGTGTATGTGTGAGGCTGGAGTTTTTGCCTGCCCTGAAAATCCTAGTGGAGACTGGATCTTCAGGGAGACCCACAACAAAGGCAAAAGAAAAAGAAAAGAAAAGACAAAAAGATGGAGATAGGGTACTTATTAGCTCAAGTAACTGAAAAATGGATTTTCAGGAATTTCTGGAGCTAGGTTCAGCTGTCATCAGCAACTCTCCATTCTTTGTTGTTGTTGAAACAGAGCTTTACTCTTGTCACCCAGCTGGTAGTTGCAATGGCGCAATCTTGGCTCACTGCAACTCCGCCTCTGGATTCAAGCGATTCTCTCACCTCAGCCTACCAAGTAGCTGAGATTACAGGCGCCGCCACCACACCCAGCTAATTTTTGTATTTCTAGTAAAGGACGGGTTTCACCATGTGGCAGGCTGGTCTCCTGACTTCAGGTGATGTGCCTGCCTCAGCCTCCCAAAGTGGTGGGATTACAGGTGTGAGTCATCACACCCAGCCTCTCCATTGTTATGTCTGCAATCCTTGTGTTGGCTTTATTCTAAAGGCCCTCAAGTGGTCTGTTAGAATTCCCAGAGGGGTCTTTCCTAACAGTGGTATAAAATACTAGGATTAGCCAGGCGTGGTGGCTCACGCCTGTAATCCCAGCACTTTGGGAGTCTGAGGTGGGCAGATTACAAAGGTCAGGATTTCAGACCAGCCTGACAGTATGGTGAAACCCCTCTCTACTAAAAAAAAAAAAAAAAAGCTGGGCGTGGTGGCACGCACTTGTAATCCCAGTTACTCGGAGGCTGAGGTAGGAGAATTGTTGAACCTGGAGGTGGAGGTTACAGTGAGCTGAGATCGGGCCACTGCACTCCAGCCTGGGGGGACCAGAGCAAACTCCATCTCAAAGAAGAAGAAAAGAAACTAACCAAGCCAGAGCGCGGTGGCTCATCCTGTAATACCAGCACTTTGGGAGGCCAAGGGGGTGGATCACCTGAGTCAGGAGTTCGAGACAAGCCTGGCCAACATGGTGAAACCTCGTCTTTACTAAAAATACAAAAAATTACTGGGCATGGTGGCGGGCACCTGTAATCCAGTTACTCGGGAGACTGAGGCAGGAGAATTGCTTGAACCCAGGAGGCAGAGTTTGCAGTGAGCCAAGATTGCACCACTACACTCCAGCCTGGGCAATAAGAGTAAAACTCTATCTAAAAAAAAAGACAGAAAGAAAAAAGAAAGAAACCTAACTTTATTTTCCATAGAAGCAACCATTGGTCTTGAATTTTTTTGCTGTTTCTTTTGGTTTTGTTTTCACTCACTTCTTCTTAAAATTATTTTTAATTGTAATTAATTTGAGACAGGGTCTTGCTATGTTGCCCAGGCTGGTCTCGAACTTCTGGGCTCAAGCAATCCTCCAGCCTTGGTCTCACAAAGTACTGGATTTTAGGAACAGTTTGTGTTTGCCAGAGGAGTGTTCACAGTGACCTTATAGAACATGACTATACCGGTGAGGCGATTGTATATTTAAAATCCATAGGGAAAACTTGGACAGAATCTTCTGGGATTCTTTTGTATCCTCGACGCTTCCCATCTTTCTCCCCATAGGCCGCCCTGACCCTCCATCAGGATTAAAGGTTGTGAGTCTGACCCCACACTCTGTGGAGTTGGAGTGGAAGCCTGGCTTTGATGGGGGCCTGCCACAGAGGTTCTATATCAGGTGGGTCCTTGTTGGGGCAGGAAGGAAGCGGAGGCAGCCAATGGGCTGGGGCACTTCCCTGAACTTACTATCCCCCCTGTCCTGCAGGTATGAGGCCCTGGGGACTCCAGGGTTCCACTATATGGATGTCCTACCACCCCAGGCCACCACCTTCACACTGACTGGTCTGTAGCCTTCTACATGATACAAGGTCTGGCTGCTGGCCAGCAATGCCTTGGGAGACAGTGGACTGGCTGACAAGGGGACCCAGCTTCCCATCACTACCCCAGGTGGGAAGGAAGCTTGGGGCAGGTTGGATGTGCCTCAGAGGATGTGTAGGGTAGTACAGGTAAGTCAATACTTTCCCTTTTTATGATGAGTTACTGAGGCCTAGAGCTGTTAAGCAAATTGTCCAAAGTCACACAGCTAGTAAAAGATAAAGACGAGACTGAAACTCGGGCAGTGAACTGAGACCAGCCGTTAACCACAACCCATACTGTCTGAATGTGATTAATGACCAAGGGAAATTAGAAACAGTTTGAATTAAATGAAAATGAAAACATATAAAAATTTGAGGTTGCAGTTAAAGCAGGATTAGAGGGAAATTATAGCATTAAGTGCTTATTTTAGTTATTTATTTTATTTTATTTTTTATTTATTTATTTTTTGAAACGGAGTTTCACTCTTGTTGCCCAGGCTGGAGTGCAATGGTACGATCTTGGCTCACTGCAACCTTCATCTCCCGGTTCAACGGATTCTCTTGCCTCAGCCTTTCAAGTAACTGGGATTAAGGCATGTGCCCCAGCCTGGCTAATTTTGTTTTTTTGTTTTTTTTGTTTTTTTTTGAGACGGAGTCTCCGCTCTGTCCGCCCAGGCTGGAGTGCAGTGGCCGGATCTCAGCTCAACTGCAAGCTCGCCCTCCGGGTTTACGCCATTCTCTGCCCTAGCCTCCCGAAGCTGGGACCTACAGGTGCCCGCGCACCATGCCCGCGCTAGTTTTTTTTGTATTTTTTTAGTGGAGACGGGGTTCACCAGTTAGCAGGATTGGTTCGATCTCCTGACCTCGTATCCGCCTGTCCACGACCACCAAGTGCTGGATTCCAGAGCCCACCGCGCCGGCCTATTTTGTCATTTTTAAGCGATCCCATTGTTGTCAGAGCTGTTCGGCCGCATCATACCACCCTCAGCTCCCAAAGCGTATAAGCCTAGCCAGCACCACGCCCAGCCTTATTTTTTATTTTTGAGATGGCATCTCACTCTGTCACCCAGGCTGGAGTGCAGTGGTGTGATCTTGGCTCACTACAACCTCCGCCTCCCTGGCTCAAGCAATTCTCCTGCCTCAGCCTCCCAAGTAGCTGGGATTACAGGCATGCGCCACCACACCTGGCTAATTTTTTGTAGTTTTAGTAGAGACGGGGTTTCACCATGTTGGCCAGGCCAGTCTCGAACTCCTGACCTCAGGTGATCTACCGCCTTGGCCTCCCAACGTGTTGGGATTACAGGTGTGAGCCACCACGCCTGGCCTAGTTTTTTTTTTCTTGAGAATAACCTCGAATGCATATTCTAAGTTTTCATCTTAAGAAAGCATGGCTCACGCCTGTAATCCCAGCACTTTGGGAGGCCAAGGCAGGTGGATCACCTAAGGTTGGGAGTTCGAGACCAGCCTGACCAACAAGGAAAAACCCTGTCTCTACTGAAAATACAAAATTAGCCGGGTGTGGTGGCACATGCCTGTAATCCCAGTTACTTGGGAGGCTGAGGCAAAAGAATCGCTTGACCCTGGGAGACAGAGGTTGCAGTGAGCGGAGATCATGCCATTGCACTCCAGCCTGGGCAACAAGAGCAAAACTCCATCTCAAAAAAAAAGAAAAAAGAAAGAAAGAAAGAAGCTAATAAAAGAACAAATTAAACCCAAAGTAAAAAGAAAGAAGAAAATAATAATAGTAAGAGCAGAAATGAATGAATTAGAAAACAGAAAAACAATTGAGAAAATCAATGAAACCAGAAGCTGGTTATTTGAAAAAAATCAGTAACATTTATGAAGCTGATTAAGACAACAAAAGAGAAGATACAAGTTACCAATAACAGGAATGGAAGAAGGGATGTTACCACAGACTCCACAGACATTAAGAGGATAATTAGGGAATATTATGAATGACTTTATTCCAATAAATTCAGCAAGTCGGATGAGAAGGACAAATTCCTTGAATATGATTAATATGTTACAATTCTGATAGGTACAGTATTGTAATGGTTAATCCTTATAAAGCCTGGTTCAGAGAAGCTTGGGTTCAAATCCCCTCTCTACTACCTCCTAGTTGTGTGACCGTAGGCAAGTGTCTCAGTTTCTAAAAATATATAATATATAGCACAGATCTTTGTGGCTCAGTTTTTCTTTCTTTTTTCTTTCTTTCTTTCTTTTGTTTTTTTCCCTTTCTTTCTTTTTTCTTTTTCTTTTTTTTTTTGTGCGACGGAATCTTGCTGTGTCACTCAGGCTGGAGTACAGTGGCATGATCTCCGTTCACCACAACCTCTGCCTCCCAGGTTCAAGTGATTCTCCTGCCTTAGCCTTCCAAGTAACTGGGATTACAGGTGCCTGCCACCACACCCGGATAATTTTTGTATTTTTGGTAGAGACGGGGTTTCACCATGTTGGCCAGGCTGGTCTCAAACTCCTTACCTCAGGTGATCCACCTGCCTCAGTCTCCCAAAGTGCTGGGATTACAGGTGTGAGCCACCACTCCCAGCTGCAAGCTGCTTCTTTCTGTTTTCCTCTTCCTGACAGCAGGCTTTTTCTCGATGTAAGGAAGGACACTTTCTCATCTCTACAATCTTCTCTGCTCTTTCCCCCACCCCATTCCTGTCTTCCCTTTGAACACTAAAACATAAAGTATGACACTTGCCTCCTTTGCTTTAGAACTTGTACTTCTATTAAGGGATCGAGAGCCCAAAGTCTTTTTTGGTTAACTCAACAAATTGATAATTCAGGTGAAAAGGATCTTGCACACCGAAAGTGCTCATCAACAATTAATTTTTGGGCCAGGCATGGTGGTACATGCCTATAGTCCCTGCTAGTCAGGAGTCTGAGGCAGGAGGATAGCTTGAGCCCAGGAGGTCGAGGCTGCAGTGAGCTATAATCATGCCATTGCACTACAGTCTGGGCCACAGAGTGAGACTCTGTCTCTTTAAAAAATAAAATAAAATAAAAAATAAAATAATTGGCCAGGCACAGCGGCTCATGCCTGTAATCCCAGCACTCTGGAAGGCCGAGGTGGGTGAATCACAAGGTCAGGAGTTCAAGACCAGCCTGACCAACATGGTGAAACCCCATTTCTACTAAAAAAGTTAGCCGGGTGTGGTGGCGGGCGCCGTAGTCCCAGCTACTTGGGAGGCTGAGGCAGGATAATTGCTTGAACCTGGGCAATGGAGGTTGCAGTGAGCCAAGATTGCGCCACTGTACTCTAGCCTGGGTGACAGAGCAAGACTCTGTCTCGGGAAAATAAAAATTATCTGGGCGCAGTGGCTCAGGCTTGTAATCCCAGCACTTTGGGAGGCTGAGGCAGGCGGATGGAGTCTTGCTCTGTTAACCAGGTTGGAGTACAATGGTACAATCTCAGCTCACCAACTTAGTGTTAAGTTGAAATCTTGATATCCACTCCCCAGGTCTGGACCAGCCTTCCGGAGAACCTGAAGACCAGCTGCCCACAGAGCCGCCTGCAGGCAAGTCCTCTGTCCCCTGATCCCTCCCATCTCCCCAAAGGAGACGTCTTCTTGTCTTTGACCCTACCTGCTCTGCTCGTAGTCACAGCTGCTGAACAACTTAGTTCTGGCCGAGCTCAGTGGCTCCCGCCTTTGGGAGGTCAAGGCATGTGGTCACTTGAGCCCAGGAGTTGAGACCAGCCTGGGCAACATGGTGAGACTCCATCTTTGCAAAAATAAAAAATAGATGGCTGTGGTGGCATGTGCCTGTAGTCCCGACTACTCAGAAGGCTGAGGTGGGAGGATTATGTAAGCCCAGGAGTTGGAGGATGCAGTGAGCTACGACTGAGCCACTGCACTCCAGTCTTGGGAAGGGAGGGAGACCCTATCTCAAAAAAAAAGCCGGGCGCGGTGGCTCAAGCCTGTAATCCCAGCACTTTGGGAGGCTGAGACGGGCGGATCACGAGGTCAGGAGATCGAGACCATCCTGGCTAACACTGGTGAAACCCCGTCTCTACTAAAAATACAAAAAATAGCCGGGCGAAGTGGCGAGCGCCTGTAGTCCCAGCTACTTGGGAGGCTGAGGCAGGAGAATGGCGCAAACCCGGGAGGCGGAGCTTGCCGTGAGCTGAGATAAAAAAAAAAAAACAAAAACTTAGTTCTCTCCCTGCAGACTTGCAGACGCCTTAGAGCTTCCTCTTTTTTCTTTCTTTCTTTCTTTTTTTTTTTTTTGAGACATAGTCTCGTTCTGTTGCCCAGGCTGTAGTGCAGTGGCAAAATCTTGGCTCACTGAAACCTCCACCTCCCAGATTCAAGCGATTCTTTTGCCACAGCCTCCCGAGTTGCTGGGATTACAGGCACCTGCCATCACACCTGGTTAATTGTTGTACTTTTTTAGTAGGGACGGGGTTTTGCCATGTTGACTAGGCTGGTCTCAGACTCCTGATCTCAAGTGATCTGCCTGTCCCAGCTTCCCAAAGTGCTGGGATTATAGGATTACACGCATGGGCCACGGCACCCAGCTTTTTTTTTTTTTTTGAGACCGAGTCTTGCTCTGTCACCCAGGCTGGAGTGCAGTGGTGCGATCTCAGCTCACTGCAACCTCCACCTCCCAGTTTCTTCTCTTGCTTCAGCCTCCTGAGTAGCTGGGACTACATGCATGTGCCACCACAGCCAGCTAATTTTTTGTGTTTTTAGTATAAATGGGGTTTCACCGTGTTAGCCAGATGGTCTCTAACTCCTGACCTCGTGATTCGCCCACCTCAGCCTCCCAAAGTGCTGGGATTACAGAGGTGAGCCACTGCATCTGGCCACTTCTTTTTCTTTGATCTTTCTCTTGCCTGGAGTGATAAATTTTTCTCTCTTCCAAATTTAGTTTAATTCTGAAAAAATTAGCTCACTCCATGTCCTGTAAGAAGCCTGCATCAGTTAGCATTTGCTGTATAACAAACCACCCCAAACATGGGTGCTTATAGCAACATTCTTTCTCATGATTCTAAGAGTCTGGCAGAACGGTGCTGGTCTGGGCTGGCTTAAGTAATCTCTGCAGTCAGCTGGCAGCTCCACTGGACTGGGTGGTATAGGGTTGCCCCCTTCCCACACATCTGATGGTCATCTGGCCTCTTGGTTGGAACAATGGAGATAACTAGGCACGTGTCTCTTCTTGACTTTTTCACATGAAGGTGGTCACAGGGGTCAAAAGCAGCAAGAGAGTACATTCAATTTACTAGCTGATTCTGTCACAGTTGCTATTGTCTCATTGGACAAAGCAAGTCACATGGCTCAACACAGAGTCAGTGTGCAAAGGCCCTGCACTCAAGGATGTGACTACCAGGAGAGGATTGCAACCGTTTGGTAAATAATCCCCTTGAGAGCCTGAGAAAAAGGTTGCAAGTGACAGAAATACAGCTGTTTTGTCAACACATAAAAGAATGGCTTGGCTGGGCACAGTGGCTCATGCCTATAATCCTGGCACTTTGGGAGGCTGAGGCAGGTAGATCACTTGAACCCAGGCATTGGAGACAAACCTGGGCAACATGGTGAAACCCCATCTCTATAAAACAAAAACAAAAAAATTAGCCAGGCGTGGTGGTGCACACTTGTAGTCCCAGCTACTCAGGAGGCTGATGCGGGAGGATTTCTTGAGCCCAGGAGGTTGAGGCTTCAATGAGCCGAGATCACGTCACTGCACTCCAGCCTAGGCAACAGAGTGAGACCCTGTCTCAAGGGGAAAAAAAAGGCTTGCTACATGAAATAAAAACTTCCAAGTGTGGCCACTTTCAGGTGCTCAAAAATCTCACCAGTGATCTGTTTTTCACCCTCTCTCAACTTTGCCTTCATCTGTGGTGGCTTCTTTCTGAGTTTCTTCAATCAGAGGGGCAGAGAAGCCCCTCCCCAACCTCTGTCTTCTTGATAGCTAGTAGAATTGTCTTAAATGTTTTGTTAAAAACACACGTTGGGTCAAATGCTTGTGTCTAAACAATCACTGTGGAGAGAGGAATGGAGACTCTTACTGTTCAGGCCAGGCCATGTGCCCACTATGGAGTCCTGCCTGAGCCCAAGACTGAGAGTGGGGAGTGGCTGTTCTCTCCAGGGGAAAAAAGTGCTGTTAGTGAAGATAGGGGAGATGGCCACCTAACAGATGCCTACTTAGAGGGATTCAGACTTGTCCTCAGCGATACAGCAGCCAAGTCAGCCTGATATTGACTGGGATGGAAGTTAGTGGAAAGAAGTCATTTGAGGCTGGGCGTGGTGGCTCACGCCTATAATCCCAGCACTGTGGGAGGCTGAGGTGGGCAGATCACTTGAGGCCAGGAGTTCAAGACCAGTCTGTCCAACATGGCGAAACCCTGTCTCTACTAAAAATAAAAAATAAAACATTAGCTGCGTGTGGTGGCATGTGCCTGTAGTCCCAGCTACTTGGGAGGCTGAGGGAGAAGAATCACTCGAACCTGGGAGGTGGAGGTTGCAGTGAGCTGAGATTGTGCCACTGCACTCCAGTCTGGGTGACAGAGTGAAACAAACTCTTTTTTTTTTTTTTTTGAGACAGAATCTCACTCTGTCACCCAGGCTGGAGTGCAGTGGGTGTGATCTCGACTCCACTGCAATTCTCCACCTCCCTGGTTCAAGTGATTTCCCTGCCTCAGTCTCCCCGAGTAGGCCGTGGCGGAGGGGGAGCAGAGGGTGTGGGGCGGACGTGCCACCCACACCCCGGCCCTAATTTTTGTTTTTCGGGAGAGACGGCGGGTTTCACGCGGGAAGTGCGGTTGCGCGGGGGCCCAGGGGGGGCCTGATGTTGTGAGACTGCCTGACCTTGTAATCCACCTGCATCGCCTTGCCTAGAGTGCTGGGATCATAGATGTGAGCCACCACGGCCAACTAACTCAATCTTAATTAAAAATAAAATAAAATAAAGAAGTCCTTGAGATGGGATTTTTTTTTTTTTTCCCCAGAGACAGGGTCTTGCTCTGCGCCCAGGCTGGAGTGCAGTGGTGCAATCATAAGCGGCACTGGAGCCTTGACTTCCTGGGCTCAAGCAATCCTCCTGCCTCAGTCTCCCGAGTAGCTGGGACTATAGACATGCCCCACCATGCTGCTAAACTTTTAAATTTTTTGTAAAGAAGTGGCCTTGCTATGTTGCCTAGGCTGGTCTTGAGCTCCTAGGCTCAAGCGATCCTCCCACCTTGACCTCCCAACGTGCTGGGATTACACGCATGTGCCGCAGCGCCTGACCTTGAGATGGAATTTGAAAGGCAAACAGAAGTTTGCTTGAGAGGAAAGGACATTTGAGGACAAACACTTAGCTATTCCAAAGCTCTAAGGTGTGAATTTGCTTCAGTGATTCCAGAAACAGCTAGTGGTTGGTTTGGTTTGTGTGGCTGGACAGTCCAGTACCAGGGTATAAGTTTGGTGGACATGGCTGGAGGTGTTGGAAGAGGCTGGACCACAGAAAGTCTTCAGTGCCCAGCTAAGGAGCTAAAGTTCCCTCCTGAGTCCGGAGTTTAGTTCTGAGTTTGCAGAGTTCAAGCAAAGGGAGGACATTTTGTTAATGGCTTGACTTAAGAAGCCACCTGCCCTTGGGTGGCAGAAGGGTTGGACACAGAGACCCCTCCCCATCTGTTTCTCTGACCCTGGGGGAGGGACTTGGTTCAGGAGTAGGCTTTCTCGGGGAGACCCACTCCTGGCCTACAGTCTGTTGTCTGGGATTCACTGAGGGGTATCTTCCACCCCTAGGACCCTCGGGGCTGCCCCTGCTGCCTGTGCTGCTCGGTCTTGGGGGGCTTCTGCTCCTCTCCAATGCCTCCTGTGTCGGGGGGGTCCTCTGGCAGCGGAGACTCAGGCGTCTTGCTGAGTGTGAGGAGAGACCTTCCCTGCGGGGATGGAGACCTGAGGGTGATGGGGAACTTCCTGGGACCAGGGGAGGGGCTTGTATGGGGTCACTGAGCCCTTTATTCCTGTTTCCTTCAGGCATCTCAGGGAAGACAGAGGCAGAGTAAGTGGGGATATTTTTCTGTAAAGAAGGCTCTGAGGGAGGAGGTTTGGGGGAGATGGGTGGCGGGGGGCAGCACTCAACTGCCCTCCACACCTCCATCCTGGAAGGTCAGAGGACCGAGTCAGGAATGAATATGAGGAGAGCCAGTGGACGGGAGAGCAGGACACTCGGAGCTCCACGGTGAGTGGGGGTGGCCCTGGCGACCCCACAGTCAGGGCACCGACGGCGACTGAAACGCTGCCGTTAGCATCAGGTTGATCACTGCCCTTCCTGGGACTGTGGGGTCAGAGGATGGAAACGGCTTTGTCTGTTTTGCGTGCGGGGAACAGGTCAGCACAACAGAGGCAGAGCCGTATTACCGGTCCCTGAGGGACTTCAGCCCCCAGCTGCCCCTGACACAGGAAGAGGTGTCTTATTCCCAAGGTGAGTTAGGACCCCACTCAGAGGTACCCCCGACGCCTGGACCGGGTGCCTTGATCATGTCTCCCTTCGACTCCAACTCCAGGTTTCACAGGTGAAGATGAGGATATGGCCTTCCCTGGGCACTTGTATGATGAGGCAGAAAGAACGTACCCCCTGTCTGGAGCCTGGGGACCCCTCTACGATGAAGTGCAGATGGTGAGGAGCTTTGCATCAGCAGCCATCCTTCCTGGCTAGTGCTGGGAGCCTACCTCCTACTGCTTGTATTAGTTAGGGCCAGCTAGCTGCTGTAACAAAGAGGCCTGACCATGATCCAGTGGTTTAAAGAAGACAGTCAGCTGGGCATGATGGTTCATGCCTGTAATCCCAACACTTTGGGAGGTCAAGGCAGGAAAATCGCTTGAGCCCATGAGTTTGAGACAAGCCTGGGCAATATAATGACTTGTCTCTACAAAAAATTTAAAAAATGAGCCAGGCATGGAAGTGTGCACCTATAGTCCCAGCTACTCAGGAGGCTGAGCCAGGAGGATCCCTTGAGCTCAGGAGTTAGAGGCTGCAGTGAGCCATCATGGCACCACTGCACTCCAGTCTGGGCAACAGAGCAAGACCTTGTCTGTGAAAAAAAAAGACGGCAATCTATTTCTTTTTCACAGTCAGACACAAGCGGCCCTGCTCAAGTCATCTGAGTCTACATGAATGGGCCAGTTCACTGGGGGTTCAACCAATGGGAAAAGGTGAAAGAATGTGGAGAAGGCACAACCTTGCCTTGTGGCCCAGGTCCAGAAATGGTGCACACCACTCTGCTCTCACTCCCCTGATGAGAATAGAGTCACACGGTCACACCTGATGGCAAAGGAGGCCGTAAAATATGGTCTAACTTGGCAGTGATGTGCCTTGCTGCAATTCTGCTGCTGTGGAAGGAAGTAGACATGAATATTTTTAGATAATTAGCTGTATCTACTCCACTGATTAAAGGGAGAGAAAGAGAAAATTTGGGGGCCCATTCAACTGAAAAATCAAGGCATACAATTGTCATCAGGCCCAGCTGGGCCCAGAATTTTCCTCCCCAAAAATGCTATTATGGCTAGGCATGGTCACGGCTCACATCTCTAATCTCAGCAGGCTGAGGTAGGTGGATTGCTTGAGCCCAGGTGTTGGAGACCAGCCTGGGCAACATAATAAGACCCCATCTTGAAGAAAAAAAAAAAGTTAAGCCAAGCATGGTGGCTTATGCCTGTAATCCCAGCACTTTGGGAGGCTGAGGCGGGTGGATTACCTGAGGTCAAGAGTTCGAGACCAGTCTGGCTAACATGGTGAAACCTTGTTTCTACAAAACATGCAAAAATTATCCGGGTGTGGTGGCACACACTTGTAATCCCAGCTACTTAGGAGGCTGACGCAGGAGAATCGCTTGAACCTGGGAGGGGTTGCAGTGAGCGGAGATCATGCCACTGCACTCCAGCCTGGGCAACAGAGCAAGACTCTGTGTCAAAAAAAAAAAAAAAGTTTAAAAAACTAACTGGGCATAGTGATGCATGCCTGTGATCCCAGCTACTCAGGAGGCTGAGGTAGGAGGAACGCCTGAGCCAGGGAAGTTGAGGCTGCCGTGAGCCCTGATTGGGCCACTGCATTCCAGCCTGAGAGACCATGTTTCAAAAAAGAAAGGGAAAAAGTGTTCCTAGAAAATCTAGATTTGTATCCTACGAGATTAGAAATCTTCAAAGAAAGAGAATGCCTGTTTTCCAGTGGCCCCAAATGCCCAATGCTGACACTTATTGGTCTAGTTTGGGTCACATTCTCATCACTGAACATATCCCTAAGTCAGGGGATGGAATATGCTAACAGGAGAGGCCTGGGTCAGTTCACCATGCGATCAGGGAGTAGGGGCCAGCCCCACTCAGTTCACTGGGCTGAGAATGGGAGAGGGACAGAGAGCTCGCAGGGAAGTGAGGATGGTGGCTGTACAGGCAAAAACAACAGACAGGCACTTTGACCACCAGCCAACCCCCACCCATTGCTGCACAGTTAGGGAGATGGGACAGGACCCCTGATTTCTTGTGTGGCCTTGGCTGATGCTCTGGCACCTCTGGTCCAAGGATTTCCTTCTGTCTCTGTGGACGACCTCCGATACAGGGCACTGTTATCAGATCCTAGCTCCTCACCAGCATGGTGCAAAGCGCTGTCCGTGGTGCTGGACCATATGCGCTCTCTAAAGCGCAGATGGAGGCTGCAGGCTTTTTCCGAAAAGGGCCAGATAGTAAACGCTTTGGGCTGTGAGAGACATACGGTCTTCTTCAAACTCTACACAAACTCTGCCACTGTAAAGTAAAAGCAGCCATAGACGATGCATAAATGAATGAGTGTGGCTATGTTCCTACAAAACTTTATTTTTGGACACTGTAATCTGAACTTCATGTAATTTTTCTGTGTCACAAATGTTATCTTTTTTTATTTTTCCTCAACAATTAAAAAATGAAAAACAGGGCCAGGCACAGTGGCTCACGCCTGTAATCCCAGCACTTTGGGAGGCCGAGGCGGGCGGATCACTTGAGACCAGGAGTTTCAGACCAACCTGACCAACATGGTGAAACCCCACCTCTACTAAAAATGCAAAAAGTTAACCGGGCGTGGTGGCGGGCACCTGTAGTCCCAGCTACTCGGGAGGCTGAGGCAGGAGAATTGCTTAAACCCAGGAGGCAGAAGTTGCAGTGAGCCAAGATTGCGCCACTGCACTCCAGCCTGGGCAACAGACCAAGACTCCATCTCAAAAAAAAAAAAAAAAAAAAAAAAAAAGAAAAAAAAGAAAAGAAAACAGAAAATAATGGAAACCTCTTAGCTCTTGGGCAGTAAAAAAAAAAAGCAGGTGGCAGGCCATATTTGGAACATGGGCCAATCTGCTCTAAAGTCTGCTGAACTAAAATAATCATTTTCTCCCAGCCCTAGAACAAAACACATCCCCAGTTACGGCCACCTTTCCTGTTTTTGGTTTGTTTGTTTTGTTTTGTTTTGTTTTTCTCTTCTATTATGATTAGGGAATTGTTTTGGAAATTCATAGGACAATAGAATCATAACTTACATTCCATAGTTGCCATAGCTGATAACATGGACTTTTAAAGTGTTCATTTTTAAAAATTTTAATGGAGGCTCGCTCTGTAACCCAGGCTGGAGTGCAGTAGCACAATCTCAGCTCACTGCAACCTCCGCCTCCCAAGTTCAAGCGATTCTCCTGCCTCAGCCTCCCAAGTAGCTGGAATTACAGGCATGCACCATCATGCCCGGCTAATTTTTGTATTAGTAGAGACAGGGTTTTGCCCATTGCCCAAGCTGGTCTCGAACTCCTGACCTCAAGTGATCCACCTGCCTTGGCCTCCCAAAATGCTAGCATTACAGGTATGAGTCACCATGCTCAGCCTAAAGGTTTTATATTTCTGACATTTACATTATTTTTCTAACATGAAATCATTGGATATCTTGGACTTGCTTCAAAATAATCCAGTTAGTGTGGGAGGGGAATAAGATAGAAATATAGATAAATCAAGTGAGCAAGGGTTGCTACTGGTTTTTTCTTTTTTCTTTTTTTGAGACAGTCTCACTCTATCAACCAGGCTGGAGTACAGTGACATGATCATGGCTCACTGTAGCTTTGACCTCCTGGGCTCAAGTGATCCTCTTACCTCAGCCTCCTGAGTATCTAGGACTATAGGCACTCACCACCACACCTAGCTAATTTTTTAAAAAATATTTTTTATAGGCTGGGTGCAGTGGCTCACACTTAAAATCCCAGCACTTTGGGAGGCTGAGACGGGTGGATCAATTCAACTCAGGAGTTCAAGACCAGCCTGGGCAACAATGGAAGCCTCGTCTCTGGAAAAAAAAAAAAATTCAAAAATTAGCTGGGTGTGGGGGTGCGTGCCTGTAGTCCCAGCTACTTGGGAGGCTGAAGTAGGAGGATGGATTGAGCCCAGAAGGTGGAGGTTGCAGGGAGCAACCATTGCACTCCAGCCTGGGTGACAGAGCCGGACCCTGTCTAAGAAAAAAAAAAAATTATTTTTTGTACATACAGGATCTCACTATATTGCCCAGGCTGGTCGTGAACTCCTGGTCTCAAGAAATCCTCCTGCTTTGGCCTCCCAAAGTGCTGGAATTACAGGCATGAGCCACCGTGCCTGGCCTGATATTATTAAGTTAGGCGATAAGCACATGGGGTTCATCATAGGCATTCATTATAACACATTCATTTTTTGTATATTTTGGGGGTTTAGTAAAAGCTAAAACAGTTTTTTCTGGGAAGTTAAGCAGGGGCGTGTATCCCCCAGATCTTCAATGAAGACCTACAGGGCATCTCTTCATGGTTCTAACTCCACTTTTTGCCTGTCAGAGCCCCTGGGACCTCCGCTGGCCTGAAGATGCATATCAGGATCCAAGAGGAATCTATGACCGGGTGGCGGGAGACTTGGACACTCTGGAACCTGATTCTCTGCCCTTCGAGCTGAGGGGACATCTGGTGTGAGAGCCTTCTCAACCCTCTTGTCCTACACCTGTAGGAATTTACACTCCACTGGTCCTTCTCATTACAGCCTGGGCCGAGCTGGTTAGGTGAGCTCCATAAAACGCAAAGGGACTCGGCTTTGTCAGGAGAGGACATGGAGGGGGTTGAGTGACAGAAGATGGTTCAGCTGGTACCAGACTAGAAACAAGGTATATCCTGGGGTTGGCTTTAGAAACTAAACTTCTCCAAAAGGATAGGGCAGATTGTAAACGGCATCTCAAAAATTAAATGCTGCCAGGTGCGGTGGCTCACGCCTATAATCCGAGCACTTTGGAAGGCCGAGGCAGGTGGATCACCTGAGGTCAGGAGTTTGAGACCAGCCTGGCCAACATGGTGAAACTCCATTTCTACTAACAATATAAAAAATTAGCTAGGAATAGTGGTACATGCCTGTAGTCCTAGCTACTTGGGAGGCCGAGGCACGAGAATCGCTTGAACCCAAGAGGTGGAGGTTGCAGTGAGTCAAGATCATACCAATGCACTCCAGCCTGGGTGACAGAGCGAGATTCTGTCTCAAAAAATAAAAATAAAATAAAAATAAAAAATAAAATGCTATTCTGAGGGTCCCTATGTGCTTCATGAAGTAAAGTTTACAGAAGTGGGAAAAGACACATTAAAAACTCTGTTCATTTTGCATTCCATGACATCTAAAATAGCTAATAAGAAGTAGAATTTATGAACCCATGTTGTATCCTACCTATTATTTTATTATTTCCCACAGTTATCTAACACAGGAGACATAAACTATGGCACATGTAAACATAAGTTTGCTCTATAAGCATTAAAATAAACAGACAATCAAAAGAAGCTAGAGGAAAAGAATACATACTGTATGCTTTCATTTATAGAAATTCTAAAATAGGTGAAACTAATCTATGGTGGCAGAGAGCAGAGCAGAGGTTTCCTGGGGCCATGAGAGGAGGGTTGACTGTAAAAAGGCATGGGAGAACTTTCTGAGGTGATGGAAATGTTCTATATCACGATTGTGGTGGTGGTTGCACGGACGCACAGATTTGTCAAAACTCATGGAACTGTACACTTAAGATGGGTGCATTTTTATTGTACAAAAATGCTGTCTCAATAAAAGTGATTTTAAAAACAGGCTTCATAATAGAAGCCCAGTAAGAGGATTCCTCCCTCCCTCCCTTCCTTTTCTTTTCTTTCCTGTCTCTCTCTCTCCCCCCTCCGTCTCTCTCTCTCTCTTTCCCCTTCCCTCCCCTTCCTTCTCTTCCCTTCCCTCCCCTCCCCTTACTTTCTCTTCCCTTCCTTTCTTGTCTCGCTTTGTCACCCAGGAGTGCAATGGCATGATCTCAGCTCACTGCAACCACCACCTCCCAGGTTCAAGTAATTCTCTTGCCTCAGCCTCCCAAGTAGCTGGGATTGCAGGTGCCTGCCACCAGGCTCAGCTAGTTTTTTGTATTTTTAGTAGAGATGGGGTTCCACCACTTCTACTTGATTAACCCTATTATCAAAACTTTCTAGTTCACGTTTTTGTCAACATATTTATTTTTCTTTGATTTTGTTTTTTACAAATACACCCCAACTGTTGAATGACAATGTTATTTTTTATCAGCACAGACTAAAATAAGTTTTTACACCACAGCTCTGGAATACACAAATACATTAAGATCTAAATGATTTCCCTATAATTAAAAGGTGACTTCATTCCGAAAGTAGAATTTTCTAATCGTATATTTTTTCTTTTTTTTTCAAATAAATCCACAGCCAACAACATGTAATTGTATATTTTCCTCTTCAAAGAAAAAAACCTACAACATTTTTTATTTTATTTTATTATTATTTTTTTGAGACAGAGTCTCACTCTGTCGCCCAGGCTGGTAGTGCAGTGGTGCGATCTCAGCTCACTGCATTCTCTGCCTCCTTGTTTCAAGTGATTCTCCTGCCTCAGCCTCCCGAGTAGCTGGGACTACAGGCGCCCACCACCACGCATAGCTAACTTTTTGTATTTTTAGTAGAGACGGGGTTTCACCATTTTGGTCAGGCTGGTCTCGAACTCCTGACCTTGTGATCCGCCTGCCTTGTCCTCCCAAAGTGGTCAGGAGTTCAAGACCAGCCTGGCCAACATGGCGAAACCCCATCTCTACTAAAAATACAAAAATTAGTTGGGTGTGGTGGTGCACGCCTGTAATCCCAGCTACTCGGGAGGCTGAGGCAAGAGAATCTCTTGAACCAGGATGCAGAGGATGCAGTGAGCTGAAGTGACGCCACTGCACTCCAACCTGGGCTGTGGACTCTGTCTCAAAAATAAAATAAAAAAGAATAAAAATACAAAAATTATCTGGGTGTGGTGGCACACACATGTAGTTCCACCTACTTGGGAGGCTGAGGTTCAAAAATTGCTTGAACCGAGGAGGCGGGGGTTGCAGTGAGCCGAGATCATGCCACTGAACTCCAGCCTAGGTGACAGAGATAAATTCTGTCTCAAAAAAAAAAAGAAAAGAAAAGGCTGGGCATGGTGGCTCATGCCTGTAATCCCAGCACTTTGGAAGGCCGAGGTGGGCAGATCACCTGAGGTCAGAAGTTCAAGACCAGCCTGATCAACATGGCAAAACCCCGTCTCTACTAAAAATATAAAAATTAGCTGGGCGTGGTGGCGCATGCCTATAATCCCAGCTACTCGGGAGGCTGAAGTGGGAGAATCGCTTGAACCCAGGAGGCAGAGGCTGCAGTGAGCCGAACCCATGCCACTGCACCCCAGCCTGGGCAACAGAGTGAGACTCTGTCTCAAAAAAAAAAAAAAAAAAAAAATTATGGAGAAGGATACAACCACATGTTACTAATACTACTGACTATAAAAGTGCATAACCTGAGCCAGGTGTGGAGGCTCATGCCTATAATCCCAGCACTTTGGGAGGCCAAGATATGTAGATTGCTTGAGACCAGGAGTTTGAGAGCAGACTGGGCAAAATGGTGAAACCCCATTTCTACAAAATAATACAAAAATCAGTTGCACGTGGTGGTTTGCGACTGTAGTCTCAACTACTCAGGAGGCTGAGGCGGGAGGATTGCTTGAGCCCAGGAATTCAAGGCTGCGGTGAGCCATAATCACACCACTGCACTCCAGCCTGGGCAACAGAGCCAGACCCTGTCTCAACAAACAAACAAAGAGTCTGGTTACCTTTGGGAGAGAGGGGAATGGTTATTGAAACTGACACCAGGAAGGGTTGGGGTGAGAATGCTCATAATGTTGTTTTCTTTTCTTTTTTTTTTTTTTTGATATGGTGTCTTGCTCTGTCTCCCAGGCTGGAGTGCAGTGGTGCGATGATGGCTCACTGCAGCCTCCAACTCTTGGGCTCAAGTGATCCTCCCACCTCAGCCTCCTGTGTAGCTGGGACTACAAGTGTGCACCACCACACATGGCTATTTTTTTTCTTTGTAGAGACAGAGTTTCACTATGTTGTCCAGGCTGGTCTCGAATGCCTGGGCCCAAGTGATCCTCCTGGCTTGGCCTTCCAAAGTGCTGGGATTACGAAGTTGTTTTCTTGACTTCGGTGTTAGTTATCAAGTGTCACTTGCGTCAAATTTACTTTCTGGTCACTCTCTGAAAATTCATACTGAACACATGATATGGGCACGTTTCTTTTTTCTTCTTTTTTTTTTTTTTGAGACGGAGTCTTGTTCTGTTGCCCAGGCTGGAGTGCAGTGGCATGACCTCGGCTCACTGCAAGCTCCGCCTCCTGGGTTCATGCCATTCTCCTGTCTCAGCCTCCGGAGTAGCTGGGACTACAGGCGCCTGCCACCATGCCTGGCTAATTTTTTGTATTTTTAGTAGAGACGGGGTTTCACCGTGTTAGCCAGGATGGTCTCGATCTTCCTGACCTCGTGGATCCGCCTGCCTCAGCCTCCCAAAGTGCTGGGATTACAGGTGTGAGCCACCGCACCCGGCCAGGGCACATTTCTTTATGTGTGCTATACTTCATTCAGAATTTTACATTACATCTCATAGGTGGCATTGTGGTTGGAATTACGATTTTTCTGATATGATGTACAAACGTTGGTACCATTCTGAACAAAAAAGTACACACTCTTCACTTTCTTTACATTAATTAGAAGCCAGGCACAGTGGCTCATGCCTGTAATCCCAGGACTTTGGGAGGCCAAGGCGGGAGGATCATTTGAGGTCAGGAATTCGAGACCAGCCTGGCCAACATGGTGAAACCCCATCTGTATTAAAAATACAAAAAATTAGCTGGGTGTGGTGGCACAGGCGGGAGGCTGAGGCAGGAGAATCACTTGAACCCGGGAGGCAGAGGTTCTAGTGAGTTGAGATGGCCATCACTGCACTCCAGCCTGAGCAACACAGCGAGATTTTGTCTCCAAAATAAATAAATAAATAAAAATGAATTTACATCATAGTTTCATTTCAGAAGATGTCAATATATTTTAAACCATACCAAAATTTTGTATGTATGTGTAGATGTGTTATATTAATTAATAATTTCAGATAACTATAAACTTTTTTTACCCACAGAAGTGCCTGTAAAGACATTTACAAATTGTTCTGGATGCAGATTTCAGTCTCCAGCATTCCTGGTCCCTACCTCTAGACGCCTATAATACCCTCCAATCAATGCTGCAGCCAAAAACAATTATGCAAATTTCCCAAGCTCCCACCAGGGTGCGGTAGTGTCCCATTGGAGAGGAACCAATCCATGAGGGGATTCTGAATGAGCCTGTGTGTGTGTGTGTGTGTGTGTGTGTGTGTGTGTGTACATTGCGTTCCAAAGCTCAGGGGAGAGGTCTGTGCTGAAGATTCAAACTGACTGGGGTGTCCTCTGCACCTAAGCTGTCACCAAACTTCAGTATTAAGGGATAAGAAGCTGTGTAGGGGGTTGAGGCAAAGAAGACCCCAGGAACACAGTGTGGGAAGGGATTTCCCTAAAATTGTTGCTGGAGAATAACCCCGAAGTCAGGGAGTGGTAGGAATTAAGGCTAGTGGGATGGTCAAAGATAAACCACAAAGGTCATCTTATGGGTTTGTGCTTTATCCTGTGGGTGGCAGGAAGCTACTGAATTGCTGCAGCAGCAGTGACAGACAGCATTTATGAGCTGCTCACACATGCCAGCCCACATTCTATGTTCTGTATATGTATCACCTCCTGGAACCATCAGAGTCACGCATGAGTCCAGTTTTTTGTTTCGTTTTGTTTTTAATTAATTAATTATTTAGAGACAGAGTGCACCTGTGTTGCTGCTGGAGTGCAGTTATGCGATCTCAGCTCACTGCAACCTCCGCCTCCCCGGTTCAAGCGATTCTCCTGCCTCA